CGGGCATGCGGCGATACGCATTGATACTGGCCATTGTCTTTCCTGCAAGTAACAACGAGGTCTGGTGCTGCAGCCTGGATCCTGATGGGAACAAGGCCTTCCTTCCATGCTTTGGAAACAGCTTGCCTGGCGAAGCTGTGTCTTGCAACTGCTTGAAAAAAACGACAGCATCAGTAGCCGCCAGTAGAAAATGACAACTGACCGCAAATGCCAGCAAGAGACGACAAGCACGGAGACAGCGGCATTCACAGAAACAGCAGCGCCAACAACAAGAACAGCTAAGTCATACTGTAAAGACAAAGACTGCTACTGATGGTGATTGTTATTGCAACTTACTTGGATCATGATTCCCGTGGCCATGATGATGCCAGTGAAGGTGAGGGCGTCGGTCGCAAAGATCGCATGTAAGCTGGTGGTGGTGACATTCTATCTATCATTTTCTCTTGATACTATATCCACTCTGGGGAGGACAGGATGGATGATGTGAGGCAAGTTTGCAACATCTATATATTCATGTCACGAAGAATGAGTGGTACAGTGCCGATGCGACGAAGCTGTCAGCATCACTCGACCGAATCCGAATCAAACAGCTTTATGACAAAGCTTCAAGTTGTTTGCAGGCCGTGACTGGTGCTTTCGACCGCCATCTGATGGTCTGGGATTTGAGAATGCAGTCTTGTGTCAGGCCGGGGCACATGGGCACAACTCATAGCAGAGCTCGGGTGCTGTGCGTAACAGCAAGTTCTACCAACCTACATTGGCCAAGATGCTATACCTTGCTATACTAAGTGAGTTTCCGAAAATAGGGGATCCTAATATAGTTCCCTTATTTAAGTTACCCAAAATCAGGTACCCCTAATTCTCGGAAACTCCCATATTACTATCGTTATACCACACCATACTTTTACTTTATCCCCGGCCCAGGGCCATGCTCCAACACGGACGTCAAGTTGTTGACCTAAGCGTGGATTGGCCGACGCTGGGAGCTCAGCCTTCAAAAAAATCCAGGAGCGAAGTAGAAGACAGCAAAGCCGAAAAGAATATACTATCATTCTCAGAAGGTGACCCCCCAAACTAGTATAGGTCCCCAAAATCGCACAGGTCCCAAAAATAATATAGGTCCCCAAAATAGTATAGGTAATGATAAGAAATCTTGGGCTTCTCTTTCGTGAGAGCTGAGGTTTCAGGGCATGAGCTGCTCCGCAGACCGCAGCATCATCCTCTGGGACCTCGAGGCTCCTGGCAAGGGAGGCGAAATTTAAGGAAGATGCCTTAAGTCATAATCGGATTCCTACTATTATTTAAGGTATATTCCTTAAATTATACTAGGATTCCTAATATGATTTAAGGTATATTCCTTAGTTGCGGGTTTGTGGCATTTTTGCGGCACCTGCCTGTGGTCTTCAGGTGGCCGAGCCTTTGCAAAGGTTCGACAAGCATCCTGGCAGCGTGTGGTGCTTGCCCCGCTGCCATGCTTGAAGCCTTTCTGGGAGTTTCCGAGAATTAGGGGTACCTAATTTTGGGTCCTTATAATAAGGATCCTACGATTTAGGGTACTATACTAGGGTCCCCTACTTTCGGAAACTCTCTTGTAATCGAGTCACATTCACGCGCGCCAGGGATGTGGACTGGGCTGGGCGGAGAATGGTCACAGGCCCTGCGAAGCTTGCAGCGTCGTTTGCAGTGGTTTGGAAGCCTTGACGTTGTGCTTCATTGAACCGTTGCTGTTTTCCAGCTCGGCTCTGCAGCCTATGCATAGGACTACAAGGCCAATATCGCAAACGATTACTTGTAGTAGGCATGATGGTGGCACACCTGATGTCACGTCTGATCAACGCCAGCGACCTCGAAACGCCAGTGGCTAAACCCACTGGTACTTTGCTGAAAGACCCGCGAGTGCCCAACAAGGAAGATGATAAGAAGCCGGCGGAGAAGGATGTCAGACCGATGCTACCACTGGTCAGCAAGAGAGCAGAGCAAGAAGCACTGGTTGCGCAAGCACAGTGAACGAGTACAGACGGAGCGCACAGAAATGAGCATCAAGAGGAATGCTCACGGTACCGTTCCCATCCCCTGACTGAAATCACTTGCAGGGCAAGGGGAGTGCAGAGGCAGGCACCACAGGGACATTGCCTCAGCGGGAAGCAGTGATTGTATAAATCCTTACTTTAATTAGACGTTTTGTGACCGCGTGATCTCATGAGTCCTATTCAGGATTTGCTAGTTGTTGAAACTCCTGGAAGCTTTGGTCCTCTGCTGCCTAGGGGATCACGCAAGGTCCATTCTTGCATGTCCGATGTTGAGAAGGCTGCCTCCTGTTCCGAAATACAGGTTTGAAGTCAGCACAAGCTGCGCTCACCAAAGTAGTGATCTTCTCCACTGCACCTGTGTATTCGTTGATTGGTGAGCCCTGATCGAAAAGCAGTGTCTTGGACTCAGAACTGTCACAGTTTCCATGTGCATTCACATGCTCGCTGAATCGAAGGGCTATGTCTGATCCAGTTGCACACGTGCAAGCTCCTGTAACTTGTCAGGAGCAGGGCCTGGAGACAACTCAATCTTCGTGTGGGACAGACAGCGGGCCCCCATATACATAGCGCTTTGTCCTGGACATGTGGGCTTCTCTTCCGAGAGGTATAGTTGTATTATCATGTTCGAATTTTGCTGCGCAAGGTGCAACTTAGGGTGTATGCTAGCACCCTTCGTTTGGCTCATGTTCTGAAACCTTAAAGACGGATGTTAAAATTCAACAACCGGTTCTCTCACAGCGCCGCAGGACTTCCGAGATGGCTTTGTGGAGCGCCAGATCCTGGGGCACGAGGGCAGTGCAGCGGCCCCAGCATCCAAGAGCGGGGCGCCCCCCCGCCTTCTGACTGTAGCCTTCCTGCTTGTGTGCATACTGACAGAAGGGCAGACATACATGTCTAGCCCAACGCGCACTTACTGCACATCCACTTTGTCTACATCCGTAAGAGTCTGGCCCTGCAGCGAAAGCGTCGGAACACGAGAACAGAAGCTTCCAGGTTTGGGCCCTTGCGGTTGACTGGGAAATTGCCCACAAGGCACAGCTGCAATGTTGGAGCCAACATAAGCCCATTACACTGTTGAGTTCTCACAATAGTTCCTGCCAACAGGGAAGTGACATCAGCAGGAGACCTTCAACGGGTTTGGGCTACTCCAGGTCTTTTCTTTTTTTCCCTGGTCTACTGCCGCACACCTCCTCCTCTACTCTCTCTGGTTCTTAGTGGGGAAATGGGTTGTGGGGACTATTGGGGATTAAACCATAGGGATCCATTCCCACATTCCCTAAACCCTAAACCCTATAGATCCCCTTCAAGGATCCCTTCAGCAGACCCTAAATCCTCAAAGGGATCCATTCCCCCATTTCCTACTAGGCACCAGGGAGTCCTCCTCTGACGTCGCGCCGCGAGGCCTTTGAGACGGCCCAAGGTGTGGGCCTCCAGACAGAGGCCGGCATGGAGCCTCCAGACTCGAGCCCCGGCATGCACCAGGACTGTTGTATAGTATGTGCGTATAATTGTGTGTATATATATATATGTAGGAATGTACATATACATACACATATAGCATGAACACACACATACATACATATATATATATATATATACACACACACTTGCTGGCTTGGCTCATGCACACATGTACGCATGCGCTTAAGGACCCTAAAGTATGGGAACTATGGGCATATTCCTTATTCTGGGTGATGCAGGACTAATACCATCAACCATATGTGTATATATTTATAATATATATATATATATATGTATAATAACAGCATGTGTGTGTGTGTGTGTGTGTGTGTGTGTGTGTGTGTGTGTGTGTGTGTGTGTGTGTGTGTGTGTGTGTGTGTGTGTGTGTGTGTGTGTGTGTGTGTGTGTGTGTGTGTGTGTGTGTGTGTGTGTGTGTGTGTGTGTGTGTGTGTGTGTGTGTGTGTGTGTGTGTGTGTTTGTGTTCCACTCGTTGAGTAATTATTCTTCGCGCTTGCATACCCTCCATCTTGCATGTAGAATGTGCAACGCAGGCGGTTTTCATTTGCTGTCAAGCGTGGCATTCTTCAGAACGTGCAGTGTTGTTGCCCGATGTTTTAAGGAATGTGCCGAGCAAGGAAGAGATGCAGAGTGGAGGAGAGTCGCCCGACGGCAAGTCCCACAAGGGAAAGAGAAGGAAGAAGTGGGTCAAGCGCCGGGTGAAGACCGCCGAGTGATTCTTGACCTCTAGTATAAATACTTACTTGCTCGTCGTTGCTGATCATACCTGATTGGTGGTATCGTCACCGAGGCTGCATGTGTGCAAGACGTCTCACAACCCAGCTGGTCGAGAAATACTCTCAGCAACCCTGAGCATCCACGGCTTCACTTGAGTGGGGTTGGGTTGCAGCAGCTTCTAGAGATTGTTTGTTGCCTCCACATGTGCATCAGCAAGCAAGCCGAGATGCTCCCCCACAGAATCAGGAAAGGCTTGATCAGTGCGAGCAGCAAAGACTTGTATAGTGGTTCCGGGAAATCAGTGCTTTTGTCTTGTTGGTGTGAGTTGACAAGGCTAGCAAAGCCAATCAAGCAGCCTGAGTCATTGTACATATGCGCGCGGGCGCAAGGCCCTGAGCTTGGGAAAAGAGCTGTGTTGTCTGGCAACACCAGGTACTGTATCGACCAGGTTTCCCCCTGCTTACTTAAATGGACGTGCTCGAACAAAACTGGAACACTTGAGGCGAAGTAGGTGCAGTGCAGGGATGTGCATCGCTTGGCGTATTGGCCGGGGGTGAGGACTCCAGAGAATGAAGAGAGCCATTTGTTTTCAGTGCAAGAGTTGCCGTCATACGAACCTTTGCCCCCTTGCCCTCGGCGCAGACGGAAGCTGCGGCGGTTGACGCGGGTGGCGAGTCTCTTTGCAGTGGCTGCTCCAAGGACGAGGTGCGAATGCAAATCCTTCAGCCTTTGCCCGTCTCAAGCCGCAAGCCAAGCAAGGAAAGGCACACCTTGATGAGCCGGCAGATGGAGGACGGTTTGGGCCAACGAGTGTAGCAGTGTTTAAAAGGCTCCATGAGCCGTGCGATGGCACAGGACCAACAGCGACTGCAAGCTGAGTTTGAGTCGTCTCTGCTTGTGCGACAGGAGAAGGCCCGGAAGTTATAGCAGTTTTGACTCGATGTCATGTTCGCTGCACTGCCAGTTTGGGGAAGACGTGCAACAGCTGGGCGAGAACCTCCACACGCTCCACAGCTTGGAGGAGCACCGCTTGATTCAATATAGGGACCTAAAAAGTACTGTGTTGGGGGGTTCTTTACTACAGTTATAGTATTATGGGCCCCAACACCCTATTCTAAGTATGAAGGCCCTTCTGTTAGCCTTTTGGTTTAAGCTCTCCAACACCTCCCTTGGATCTTGCACGAGGCTGCCTGCCTGGACCAGCTGCGCGGAGGACTGGCGGAAGTGCACGCCGCACTGCACCGCGAGGCGCCTTCTGGCCCTTTCCCGCTCCTCGTGGGTAGTTCTCAAAATTAGGGTCCCTTTTTGGGTACCCTGAGTATGTAGGTGCCGTATGAATAATGGGGACCCGAAGAGGGACCCTAATTTTGACAGCCACCCTTGTGGTTGCTTAGAAGCTGCCGATTTTGTTGCTGGGATCTTTTGCATCTTCTCGGTGACCTCGTAGAGCCATCATGAGCCATAGTGCTCGACTCATGTCAATAAGTCGGATGCAGACGTCCTCAACTCGTCAGATGGCTTCGCTCTCACGCGTGGAAGATCAGCTGGGGGAGCTTCGCGAGGAGGCGATGCACTTCGGTTCCATTGCGATTCGAGAAGCCTTCAAAGCAACTTATGTTGGTAGCCACGTGTTTTAAATTAAAGCCTTTCGTGTCAGACATTACAGACACCGGGGAATTGCGTTTGTTTGTCGGGTAGAGCAGGCTGTAGCATGTGCCTTGTGGAATTGCAGCCGACACTTCGCCGCTCCGCCGAACTGCACGAGTTTGCAATTTTTGCAATTTAAGTTAGGGAGAGACTGAAGCCTTTGTACAACAGCATCGCTCCGACCCCCCGATGTTGATCCGGCTAGGTCTCACTGTCCTCACTGTCACTAGTTCTTGTGCACGTTGTGACCAACTCCGGCGAAGCACCGCGGTCGAGGTGATGCAGCCCAGCCCTGCTGCTGCGCAACAGCACCAGCAAGACCATCAAGCCACCATGCTGGCGTCCAGGCAAGTCTCTGAGCTTCTACACCAGGCCGGAGATCATGGTCACACAAAGTGCGGGGCGACAACGGGCTGAGAAGAACCGAGCGCTCAGAGGCCAATGCGACCTTCCCTGTCAGGAGCGGGCACGGGCAGCCGCTGCCCGTCTCCGGAACCTCGTAGCACCGCCTTTCAAGGACCGGGCGGACCGGGGCAAAGCCTCTTTGGGAAGCCACGATTTCGTTGGCAACGGCACCGGCACCATGTGGTCGCGCCAAGCTAAATCGTCTAGCAGTCGAGTGTTGTGGGGTTCTTTACATTTGAGAGGTCGCTTGAAGTGTCAGGTGCAGGACTTAAAGCCGTCGTGTTTACGAGGGCTCACGGAGTTACAGGCCGACGGATTTCGATTCCGGAAGTCGTCTGCATGGATAAGAAGACAGCTGTCCGCTGACTGTGCTCCTTTCGGGCATCTCAGTTCCAAGCCTGCCGGAGCCACACTCCGGCTAGAGGCTGTAGGCCCATAGGCACTCAGTCAGCATTCATCGGACAAGCCATGTGGGTGGTTGTCAAAATTATGCTCCCTTTTTGGGTCCTACAATCCGGCACCTATTACCCAAAAAGGGGCCATAATTTTGACAACTACCCATATGATTCCCAACGGCGGTTGGCTCAGCGGATTACAGAAAGAATATCTCGTGGACGCCTGAGACCACGCACCCGGCAACCTCTGCTGGCAGGACATTGGCTCTTTGCAAGTGACGGGCCCGGCGAGTCTGCATTTCGTTTAACACAGGTATTGCAGCATATCGGGGCACAACCACAGATACCGGCAGCATGACTTCCATGTAGGTGTAGGGCTGGAACGGTGATATGTCAATACATTCAGCGAAGGATTCCGCTTTCGCGACCCCTGGCAGAAAAGGCCTCCAGGCAACTGCTTTCCGCACAGGTGGAAGGCAGGATGGGTCAGCTTCATTCCTTTCCAGAGTCCAGGACACGCCTCTCATCGGCGAAGGTTGCGTGTTAACTGCTGGTATGTGCTTGATGGTGTGTTTTGAGGTGGCCTTTGTCCTTTGGAAGATGCGGTCCCGGTATCGCGTGGCCTGGGGACCAAGACCGAGGGTCCAATATGCCTGCAAAGGTGGCCATGCCTTGTCAGCATCTTTTTTGGACTACATCCTGCTGCTATCGTGATTCTCCCATCACCAGTTCTGTGAGGTCTAGACATGCGAGCTTGCTTTCGTGCACTGCTTTCTTTCTCCCCTTCTCCCCTTCCACTTCCTGCTACTCCAGCTCCTCGGGCTTCTACCAGAGCCCGTGCTGTTGCTACTGCATGCTCCGGCTCGAACGAGGCGATCTTAGTGCTTCTGTGCTTCTGACAAACACTAAGCCCAGCAATGAAAATCGGAACATATAGAACTGGAACGAAGGCGGAAGTCAAGCGATGTCGCCAACTGCCACCCCGTGACTTAGTGATTCCGTACTCGTGCGTCGAGGGAGTCCGTTCTCCCATGAGCTTTCACTAGCATCATAACTAACATGCTCTTCCTTCGCTCGTCATGCACAAGCCCCGCCGCATCGTACTGCACTCATACATCTTTCGTCCTCTGCTGCAGATGGCTGTAGCCTTGCGTTTGCATATCGTCCTTCGTCATACCAGGCTTGTGCCTGCCAGCTTGGCCGAGGCTTTCGAACACTCGCTTGCTTACCGGGAGAAGATGGTCGACAGAGCTGACCTGCAGGCACAGCTGAGTGCGTGCGGCTTTCAACATCACGGTACCCTGGCCACCCTAGCCTCCGGCTTCATAGGCCATAGTGACTGCCTGGCGCAGTGCCTCGAGACCATCGAAAGAAAGGCGGGACGGTGATTCATGGCTGAACTCTGAATGCACGGTGTAGAGCTTATCATGCTTGGTCGGGGTTCGGGTGGCAGCGACCGTCAGGCGTTGGCGGGAGATGCGGGGAGTGGTGTAGGGCATGGTAGAAGTGTGCACCGTGTTCGGGATGAGGGAAGGTGGGGAAGGGGCGGAGGGAGTGTGGCAACCGAGAACCATCATCACAGGCACGGAGTGGTGGAGGTGGGAAAAGTGCGCCATGCCGTCACTCACTTCTAGCATGTGGGAGGATTGCTTGTTCACTGAGGGCTCTTCATGAGGATCCAATTAAGTCCTAGTACTCAGGGTTTGCCATAGGGTCCCTTATTCTTGAAGTTCCATGAAGTTCCTGCAGTCATATGAGATGGGAATGGATCGGAACGGCAGGTTCCTGGACTCCGAGCTACAGGCGGGCCTTCTGCTCGAATATCCTTGGCTGTTCGTAAAGCACGTGCAGAGAATCCTGGAATTGGAAGACCGTGAGGTTGCCAATCAGGCTTTCGCAGTGAGGTTGAGGGGCAGTCCAAGACTGGACTATAACCGACCAAACCTATTACTACTTCTGCTGCTACTACTACTACTACTACTACTACTACTACTACTACTACTACTAGTACTACTACTACTACTACTACTACTACTACTACTACTACTACTACTACTACTACTACTACTACTACTACTACTACTACTACTACTACTACTACTACTACTACTACTACTACTACTACTACTACTACTACTACTACTACTATTACGCCAATGGCCGGCTGGCTGAGGAGTTGGCCAAGCTGCCGGCACCCGAGCCCGTACGAGAGGCGCAAAGCGTAGCAGCGTTGTTTACAGCTACAGCCAGCGCTTAGTTGACACAAGTGCAGCACGTCAATGGCCGTGTGCCAGCAAGTCGTTGAGGAGGCAAGCGCAATCACAGCAGCCGTTTCCATATATCCATTGGCGATAGCCCAAAGAAGAGGCAGAGAAGCCCCGGGCCATACCGTGTAGACATAATATGCAAAAGCCAAATGCCACATTCGACCTTCAGTTTTAAAACTACCTTAAACTACAAAACCCTACTTTTTTTGTAGGTTCTTATTAGAGGTTAAGGCAGCTTTGTTTGACTCCTCAGCTTGTTCTGGTTGATTGGCGCGAACTCTCGGCATTGGCCTGGGCCGATTCCAGCTGCACGCTTCACCTCCAAGCTGCTGGCTGAAGTGCGCTGGCTTCATTTCACATGAGTGTCGTGTGCGAATTTTTATCTTCGGAATAAGTTGCTGACTCCACTACCTAGCTGACGTGCTTCGTTTCATTCCCAGGGTACCTAAGTAAAGTAGAGACTTGGGTTGTTCTCAGTTTCTTGCCTGAATCCCGTGCTTAATCGAACAAGGCAGTTGTAGTCTGCGCTAAATGTCTGCAGGACTGTACCTGTAGTCTCCATTGTAGTTCCTTTTTGGGGTTACCTTATAGGATCCTTATTATATATTTGGTTAAACCCAAAAAAGGAACTACAATGGAGACTAGAGGTAGGATGCGCTTGGATGTCATTCGGGTCGTATATTATATTATACTACATTATAGTATATTGTTTCTTTTTAATAACAATATTATTGTTATTGTCATGCATCTGTCAGAGATTCGGCTTCCTGAGGCGCCGGAAACATGGCGCCGAAGAAGCAGCAGCCAAAGGTGGAGGCGCTGAAGTCATGCTTTCCGAAATTAGGGGTACCTTATTTTGGGGACCATATAATAAGGATCCTACTATTAAGGGTACTATATTAGGGCACTCGCAGGAAATATCACAGCAAGCTTCTGAACTGCCGATTCGGAAAGCTGTATTGCACCCTGTGATTGTGTGCTGCGGCATCGTGAACGTTTGCGGTGAGGAGGAGGTCGTGGTGCCGGAGTCAGAGGACTGCAAGCTTTTCTGCTTTGCTGCGAAGTCTGCGGGGTAGCATCCTTGTTGGAAAGATCTGCGTACGGTCCGCTTGGTTGTGTTGACTGTTGGAGGACCCCTGGCAACAATGTGATCTCCGTAACAATGCTAGGAGTGAAGTTCTGAAGAGCATCTAACACCCCCTGGGCGTAAAACTCGTCTCTGAACTTCGCGACCTCGTCAAGGATGAGCCAGAAGAGCCTGAGATTTTGACGAAGTGCCGTGACGACATGAGTGGTTGTGCGTCTCCGCGAACGGTATATCATATAAGCAACTCAGGGAAGACTCGTGCAGTCGTGCAGCTGCAGTGGAGACCAATGATTCCATGGAACTCCCGCGGCAAGTCAGCAAGATCTAGTGAAGCCATGTGAAGCCCAGGTGTCTACGAGCTCCTGGACAGCTCTTCTATGGCGAAGTTAAGGCAAGAACGGGAACAGTACAGTAGAGCAGCTCTATGCAGGGCTGATACTTTCCTGCAGCGTAAAATCGAGACTCGAAATCGTTCGTCGCGAAGACTTCAGCACCGCCAGCTCGGCGCAGGCCGGTTACAAACAGCGCAAAGGCCAATGGATTCGACATGGCAAAGGGCAGCAGGCAGGGCTCAGGGCTTCTCCAAGCCGCCAATTCAAAGCTGCGTGAAGCATGGTGCACCTGAATGTTGATACGACAGCAGGCTAGTGCGTCCATGAAGCATCAGTTTGAATCACCGGCGACAGCGGAACGACGGAAAACCTGCGAAGTCAGCTAAAGACCACTCGTATCGTTCACCTGTGTTGTTGCCAGATCATGACGGCTGTGACGCCGATGGGTTTGGGGCCCAATCAGCGCCCTGCGTTCGAGACCTTGGTCGTCAGCATCTACGAAGGACTGAAGCGGGAAGCAGTTTGGCAAGCGAATCTGAAAGCAATTTGAGAAAACGTGGTGGCACTAGCCGGCTGCGTACACAGGATTGCTGCCCATTTGACCTGTGTTTGCAGGCGCTTGGGAGGAAGATGTACCCTGCGGTGAAGGTAGCTATCGTTGGAGTCCGGGCTGCACACAGCCTTCAGTTGCAAAAGGCACTGCACACTTCGGTCGCGGATGCTTTGAGCATGCTTGGGGTTGCAACTTTGAGAAAAATAGAATCTAAAGAGGTCGGAGGAATAATGTGTCGCTATAGCGGAATATGCCACAACTGCCCCTGCGATTTACGTAACTAGGGCTTTCTAGGGGAGCATTGGCTTCAAGCAAGGAGCGATGGCAGTTCCTACGAAGGGAACTTCGAGCAAGGGAGGATGCACGGCCAAGGCCGCTTTGCACTTCGGATGCAAGGAGTCCCGGGTGGGGGTTTCCGAATATAGGGGACCCTAATCTAGTTAGTACTCTAAATAATAGGATCCCTAAATAATAGGATCCCTAAATAATTCCCTTTTGTAAGGACCCCCAAAACAGACACCCCCATTTTCGGAAACTCCCGGGTAGCTGACATCAACTCCGACTCAGGCACCTGAAGCTGAGCAAGATAGCTTCGGAATCCATTTTTGGGGAACGACCGGCTCAGCCGTGCATGCCTGGTCCTACAGGCTTGCCCGTGGACAGCAAGCACTGCTCATGAAGAGTTGGTTTCTGCAATGCTGACGAACTCGACATTTGCACAGAGCCGGTTGTGTTCCTGACTTCAGATGATCTGTTCTTGTGGTTGGTGCAGGGCTGCTTTTGTGGGTGCGCAGTTACGTGTACAGTATGCATAAGCATACAGCATGCATCAACGTAAGCAGATGGGCAGCAAGGCAGGCAGGCAGGTTTGGGTTTTAGACCCCAGTCGAAATTTTCAGGCAGTTGCAGTCTTTTCTCGCAGGACTAAACCCCTCTTAGCCAAGGTGTGGGCTGACGGAAGTTCATACGAAGGCAGCTGGTTCCAAGGCTCGTCTTTCGGAGTTGCATCAGGGGTAGAGGGGTTTGTCGGGTCGGTTTCAGGGCTTAGGGTTCCGACTTGCACGACTTGAATGCACAGCGAACGAAGGAAGGACTTGGTCACGGATCATCTCAAAAACTGTTCCTGCAAATGACTGTAAACTCTGATATGTCGTGCTCTATCAGCTCTTCTGTGCCACTTCTGCTGCTGCTGCCGCTGCTGCTGCCTCCTAGTAGTACGCCACGGCTGGCACGACAACAGCAATGCTTCATCTCCTGTTCGACTCCTGCTTCTTCCTACTCCAACTGCTGCTCTCCCACCTCTCCTCCTCCTCCTCCTACGACTACGACTTTGTTACTAGCTTCAGCTCCTGACTGCCAGGAGCCTTTCACGGTGAGGGCACCTTCGACTCCCGCTGGGATGGCGGCCGGTACATGCAAGGCCACCGCGCGGCGCAAGTCATTGTAGACAGAAGTCATTGTGGGAAGTCAGCTGCAACGCTACCATGTGTCCATATTAGTTTTGGCAACGAAAGTCACAAACATTGGAAGGGCGGATCGCGCTCCAAGGCGAATTCCACTACAACTGCTTCCAGAAGTCTGATGGTCGCTGGGTGGATATCTTGCAGCACATCAAGAGCCATGAGATGCGAGAGAGCCTTTGAAAGCACTCACTGTGCTCAGCAATGCATCTGCATCGGTTTGGGGATTGGTTATTCGGCTTACAGCTGCGCCATGTCAGGATTCTTCATGGGAACCCGCTTCGAACAGAGGCCCGTTGCATGGCGATGCAGTGTCACCTTCAGGTATGTGTGAAATCTGTGGTATCAGTGCTTTTTATTTTGCCACAGTCGCTGTGAGAGGGCCCGTCTGGCCAGAACGCTGATTGCAGGGGATTCAGCTGACCGAGAGGATTTGCCAGCTTGTGCTGACTCTACCTGCAGAATCAGTAATAAGATGGATGGGTAAGATGTGTCATAGTCTGGGTCAGAGCCACAGAGGAGGCTCAAGGGTTCCTGGAATCTGCCGGCAAGCCAGAGCAGGTGGAAGCTGCAGCAGCTGCAAATGCTTCGGCCTCACGCCGGAAAGGCCCTGGTTAGCTCGGCTGGAGCTTGATTATATCGTAGAGTATAGTATAGCATAGTACAGCATAGTATAGTATGATATAGTATCATATACTGTAGTATGAGGCTTCAGGCTTTTCGACCTCAAGGTTCGCTGTGATCCCTCGCACAGAGCCGAAGTTCAGCCTCCCATTCGGAAAGGGGCTACTCGCCAACTGATGCAGGAATTTAAGGTTGTTCGGGGTTTAGGGGATTTTAGGGTTGTTTCGCCAGTTTAGGGGATTTTAGTGGTGTTTAAGCCGTTTTTTCAGCTCTAGGGTTGAGAATGTTGACAGACATGGAAGGGTCATTTCCCTCATGGCCCTTCACGCTTCTCGGCACGAGCGGGTGGGAAGAATCACCTGCAGGGAATAGGTCCTTTCGCCAACGAGGAAAGGGCCGAGCCTGTTCTTCAGCCGAGCCGTATCGACCTCTCCGTAGCAAGCTCCATCGTGATTTTGAAGCAGTTGCATAATGTACATAATTCTTAGGACACTGTACATTTTGGGCACGTCTTTAGAAGTTGTGGTCTCTTCCTATCGGAAGCGCTCGGATTTCCGGAGCTCTGTACGGAGAGTGTCGGTCAACGGTTTTGTGTTCTTTGCCCCGCAGAAGGAAGTGATCCAAGAGATCCCCAAGGGATCTTTCGGGTCACTCAGATGGAGAGTAATCAGAAGCCGACTCCGCCATGGAACGAAGAGATCAGGAAGCTGCACCAGTTCATCGAGGCGTGCTGGGGTTTAGGACTGCAGTTTGGTGCTGATCTCGGAGGAGGTTTTCATTTGCTGCATTGGTTCATGTTGAGCACTGCCTGGAAAAAAGTTTGGGGACTGTTGACATCGACAGCTAGCTCAGGACTGATCGTAGCACATCGTAGCATGCAGGAATGTCTGGGTCGGCCCATGGGTATGTTCCGAACCTAAACCCTAAACCTAAGGGCTCGCTGCAATTTGATCAGGACCAGTTCTGTCGACAGGCCGTGCTGCTGCAGGACGGCTAAACGGCTGCTGTAGATCATGATCATAGTAGGATCCCCGATACGATTTAAGGAATGTTCCTTATATTATAATAGGATCCCTCACATGATTCGTAGTAGGAGAACTTTTTTGGAGATTCCGAAAATTAGGGGGTACCGTATTTTGGGGTCCTTATAATAAGGATTCTACTGTTTGGCGTACTATATTGGGGTCCCGTAATTTTCGGAAACTCCCATTTGCTGTCCCAGTGTGCACAGCTTGTAGCTCTTGGCATGGTCACAGGGGTCAACAGCAAGATCAGCGGCAGCAATCGCAGAGATAATATGACAAAGCGAAGCACCCTGGACCTGCCTGACGTGCGTCTGCACACACATGATTTAGTATGCAAGCACATTCTATCTGTCCAACTACACTCGATTGAAAATGCATCCCATATAAAAGTATGTACGCCACCTGGAGTCCCAACCGACTGCTTCCCGAAATCCCCCCGCAGGAACTGACACGACCTCTTCGGTTTGCACCTGACAAGCTGGCGCCTGCTGTTGCTCCCGTCCTGCGGCCTCCGGAGGGGGAGAGCAAGGAACCAAGTGATATGCAACTTCATGGTAATGTAGGAACCTGATCAAGAAACCTTGCGTTCCTTATATGAATCCGACTATTTTGGGGGTTATAGGCCCAGGGTTTCTTAATCAGGTTCCTACATGAAGCATGACGAGTGTTCGGAAAGTGCAAGATCGAGCATGCAGAATCCATACTTTCGTACCATTGGTACTACAAGAGTATCATCATGTTTGTTTGCGAGGGCGGGTCTCTGGGTCAGTGGCAACTCTTCTTTGTTGGAGAAGGCTTTCTTGCTGGTTTGGTTTCGGCACATAGATGATGCATTACAGTGCCAGCACGGAACGGCTGCAAGAGTTCGAACCCCAGAGGCACAGCTGTTTGGAAGCATGCTTTCTTGTCGTACAGGCTTATTGCAGCCTTCGTTGAAGTTCCTCCTTCGTTGCTTGCGATCTGCCCATCCGCTGGCCAGACCTTCATCATCCCATGCTACGCGATCTCGCGGTGTGTATGCCTTCATCTATCACACGAGGGGTCACGAGGGGACATTGCGATCATCCGAGCTCCATGACACGTCTTTGTAACAACATGTGTCTCCTGTGACAGGACCTAGACTTGGTTTCCGAGGGTGCTGGCATCAATATTCGGCACATCCAGAGGCATCCGGGCACCGTGCTGGCTTCTGGCGGGCGCACTGAGAAAGCGGACATGCAGTCGGAGACCTCTTTGAACAATTCTGCAGTGGTAAGCGTTGCCGCAGAAGTTGCAGAGGCCAGAAACTGGGTTCTTGCTCAGAAATTTAGTTTGAGTTACCATAATCGAGATCTATAGTAAACAATAACTATGGTTCCTTATTCTTGTAATTTAAAAAAACAAATCCCTTGACTTCCACTAAATTAAATCCCTTAACTATTATGGTAATTTAAAATAGATCCCTTAACAACGAGAACCCAGGAAACCAGCAGCTCGGCGAGGCTGACGCGGAGAAGCGGGTGACACTCTCGTTTCAGATGCCCGAAGACCTGGACCAGCAGGACGTTCAAGATCTAGCAGCCTTCGATGAAAACTGGGAGCCTACGGCCAGCCCGAGTGTGACCGAATCTCCGGCTAAACGCTCCCGCGACAGTTCGCGGCAAACCTTCGTGAGGGCCAAGCTCAGCCAGCACCAAGAAAAGGCTGCAGCTGCCGCCCGCCTGGTGCGTCAAGCCAGCGGCTGGTCTGAAATTCGGCCTTGTGCTGTGAACCCTTCGGTGCCTGAAGATAAAATAAGATAAAACAGTTTCCGTTCAAGATGTCGGGACCGGTATGTGCCCTATTTGATAGCCGTATGGTGCACGTATGAAGTGGACGTCAGCAGAGACTGTGCGTTTTTGCCGAACAGCTCCAAATTTGCCTATCGCTGTAGGAACGACGGAGTGGTAGGCCGGCCCGAAAGGCGTGCCATTGCCTCGAGGTGCCATCAAGCCGAAACGCTTATGGCCCAGTGCAAAGCAAATTGTGACGTCTCGAAGCATGGCTGCATTTTGTTGACAGGTGAACATAGGCGTTTATGCCAGTACTCGTAGCGAAACAGCAAAAATTGTCACTGTCATTGCTATGTTCCTGTTGCTGTGGTTGTGATTAGTGTTCCGAATGCGAATATACTTGCTGCTACGACTCCTTTTGCTGGCGCTGTTGTTGTTGCGGGTCTTGTTTCAAATGTTATTAACATCGTCGGTTTTCAATCTGTCTCTCCGGTGGTGATGGCTCTTTACTGCGATGTCTTGATCTGGTGAAATTACTTGTGCATGTTCATGGCCAGTCGTTGCCCATTTAGTCGAGTGCATGGTGGCCCAACGACACTGGACATGTTTTTGCCAAGTACCAGTTTCTATGTTGAAGCTATACTACAGACTCAAGCTTCTACAAGTACCACTGCAGCCACTACCACTGCTACTACTACTACTACTGCTACTACCACTGCCACCAGCACTACCACTACCACTACAAGTACTACCACTGCCACCACCGACGACGACGACTGCTGCTGTTACTACGACGACTACTTCCACCCCAATTACTATTATGGTGAATTACGACTACGACTTCGACGACGACTTCTACTGTTACTGCCACTACTACTTGCCTGCGCATACTTTTCTTATACGACTTGACTACCACCGCCACTACGACGACGACTAGACATTACAGTAGACTATAGGAATAAAATCACCAGTAGTCGCTCGCTGCACGAGAGAATACAAATCCCAACACAAGTCACAGTCCTAAGACTAGCTATCGTTCCTGGCATCCTCATCAACCATGATGATAAGGTCGCATCGTTGCAGAGATACATGCAGCTTTTTTGTTTTGCAGAGGCTGTAGCTTTCGGGCGCAGATCATTGGGCCTAAAACCTAAACCCTAAACCCCAAGCTCTATTGGGGTGCTTGCAGGAGTCTTTGCCTACGGGATCATCTGTCTGATTATTGTGAACCTCGTCCTCCTGGGAATCGAGGTGCGCTCGGGTTTTGGGGCCATTAAACTATGATTATGATGAGGAACTGCCATAGTATAGTTAATTATGAAGGCCCCTATATTATGTTTGGGAGTTGCATGGGACGAAAGTGTATCACTTGCAGAACTCACCGGCATGCCACAACGCAGGCCAACTCAGAGTCGGGCCACACTGCGCCCCATGCCTTGTTCCCTGAGCATTGCCAGGTGGATGTCAGCTCTGGCCTCCCTCAGAACGAGGCCTGCAATGGCCTGCATCAAAACTGTTGATAATTCGTAAGCCACAGATATTATCTTGAGCCTCTTTTACACTTGCAGATACGCTGTCATGCAGCTCAAGCTTGAAGCCAGCAGGTGCCTACATGGTTTGCGATCGTGAACATTGTCATCGTATCGGTATACACCATGGAATCTCGCCTATGAGGGGCCTTTTTGTTTCCGTAATCTTGCACTCCTTCCGCAAGATTCATTATCATGCGCCAATTTTCAAGCTGGTTTGATTGTAGTGTCTCCTATCGTGCCCCAGGCACCAGGCCCGTGCTTCCTTCGGAGCATACCTTGGAGAGATCGCGCGCAAACACGACTTAATGAAGGGCCTTCGAAGATTCTAAGATGTCGTGGGAGCCTTTTGAGAATTCTTTCACCTGGCATTGAGTGTGCTATTTGTTTAGTTGAACAGTGGGGGTGTGCAAACGCCCTGCAAGTTCTTTCGCCGGAGAAAGGCGTTATCCGTGGGATGTCGCTCCCCTGAGTCCATAGCTGTCGCTGTAAGGTCGCACCACACATTGCTGAAGAGTCCTGCGAGGTTTTTGCATTCGGATACGATCAGCGACGCAAAGAAAATGCTGACAGCACTGTCCTGGACTAGCTATGAAGTCATCCAGCCTTGCTTAGTTTTCAGTAGCAGTAAGACTGACTTGTGCTGTTGAATCTGCTACTGGCGAGTGCCGCAGCATAAAGTCGCATCAACCATAAGTTCCATATCTCGGTGCAGAACTCACAAATAAATCAGACGATGTGCCTGTGCCAGTTTTTGAATTTGAACACAAATAGATTCCGATGCATTCAGTTATATACATATATATATATATATATGTATATAGATAAAGTATGCATACAGGTTATGTACGCATAGTACCTGTGTGATCCTGTGTCTGTGTGTCAAAGCTGCGAATGTAACTACGTATACATAGAAAAGATACGTATACGTACACATGCCTACACTTGCGTGTTTACTTATGTATATATACATATATATATATATATATATATGTGTGTGTGTGTGTGTGCGGATGTATCCTGTTAAAGTATTTGCAGTGTATGCATATTACACACACACAGAGATCTGTCTAGCTCCGCCTTTTGCCGATGATGTCGGCATCTTTTGGTGCCTGTGAATCTGCGGTCATATGAGCAGCCGAGGAAATCGCTTTGAAGATCCTTGCATTCGGAACGCGGGCGTTCTTCTGCGGAAGGGACAGCTACTGGAATGTGTTCGACTTCGTCATCGTTTCAGTGTGGCGTGCCCGCATGGTCCAAATCCTTCGTTGAACTGCAGCAGAAAAACAGCAGCCATCATACACTCTTTTCGCTTCAGGTGAGCTAGTTGTGAAAGTGACATGTCAAACCCTGTCTCAGATAAAGGTCTATCGGCGAGACGCTGATCGAAATGCTGATTCTCACGTCATCGCAGCTTAGACGGCATGTTATCAAGAACTGCAGCGGTCATACGGCAGTGATTGAAATCGTCGCTCAGACCTCGGCAGGAGGAGCATCAGCAATGAACTGATAGATAGAAGCACCGCTACCATCATCAGCACGGCTATCAACATTCCCATCATAAGCCATGATCCTCTTTTCAACTACAGCGCTACTGTGGCAAAGCAAGATGCATCATAAGCTTGCTGCCGCCACTCCGCCAAGCATTGAGCAATAAAATGTGTTACAACTGGGTCACGCGACTTCCGAACAGACTTGCTCCTGCAGAATTGCATTGGGAATTCGAGGAGTGTGGACTCTGCACATTTGCGAGTGCTTCGTTTCTTGCGGGTGGCCCGAGCATTGCGCAGCATACGGGTGATGCGGCTGGTTCACTATATCGGCGCTTTGCGGACTCTTGTGCGCCTAGTCTTCACAGCACGTTCTGTTCTTCCGGAGCTATATGTATTTTGCAATAGACGGTTCGGCTCGTATCAGCTCAGGTTCTCAATCGTGAGCACTATGGGCAGCCTTTTATGGACCATGCTGCTGCTAGCCTCTGTGTCGCAAAAGTTACGACAGAATCCAAAGCACGGTTTGTCAATTCCTTGCTCAGTCTCTTAGACGTAAATCAGAGAAACCACAGTTGCCGAGCCATCCTTTCTCCACGCCATCTGGCAGGTCATGATCTTTTACTTGTCCCTTGGCAAGACTTGAGAAAGCGTTGCTACTAGGGCTACTCGAAGTCTTCTAGTCGTGACTTCAGCACGACTACAATGCCGATCTATACAAAGATATAAACCTCCACATACATACTTATACACGGTATACACGTATGTAACATGTATGCACATACATGTCATGCACCAATGTGGACATAGCCCATGTCTTAGAGCAACCGCTCAGGTTTGGTGTAATCCTGGCACAGATTGCCACAGACAATTGCCGTACCCTGCAGCAAGCCGCCACGGGCGACATCAATGCCGTACCGCTGTGCGAAGGCGCTCTCTATATGCGGCTTCGCTGAATTCCCTGGTGTGGACCTTCAACTTCGTCTAATCAAGCATTGCGAAGCATGGTGAGTCCCCATAACAGCGCAGATGCATGATCCGAGGGCATCGTAAACTCAAAAAGTGGATTGCTCTTGGTGCTGTTGTTGCGATGCCCTCCCTCGACCCATAACCATGAGGCACTGGAGGACCGTGCCGGTGAGCATGCTGACACTCTTCATGGCTGTCACTCGGTCTAGTTTGCAGGACCACAGGAGTTGCAGCATTTTAGAATGTCGACCATCCAATTCAAAGCTGATTCAGGTTAGTGGTGGACTGAGCTGGACAGAGGCCGGCATAGTGCCATGCGCAGTAACATGCCGTTTTCCTTGGATTGCAACTTGGACATCAGGGCGTCGGTGCTTACGATACTGGGAAGAATCTTACGCAGACTAAAGCCATAACACCCTAAAAGCCCAAAAGTGAAGGCTTCAGGTGCAGAGGTTTCTAGTCGAGTAGAGTAGACTATTACCATGACATAACTCGTCTTTACTACAAAACCAAACTGTGACAAACTATGTAAGTAAGTAAGATATATTACGACAATCTACAATATGCTATAGTTGCCCTGCTTCACGTCAAGGCGTTGCAGCCATTGCAGCAGTTCTCGCCATTCGGAGTCGCATGCAGCTTGTCGCGGGCAATTTGACGACTGATGGGTGGGTCAAGAAGTAAGACTTTTGGAGAAGTCACCATGTATAGTATATTTTGTCGTAGCTGATGGTAAACTAAAATAAGTCAAAGCATGCTACAGTAAAGGAATAAAGTATATCATATAGCATGTTTCCCGAGTAGGTCCTTGCCACGACAGGGTTTGTGTGCACGTTGACAAGCTTTCCAACCACAGCGACAAGGTTTTTCTTACACTGACAAGGGTTTGGGCTCAACCCTAGCAGTGCGGCTCGTGTGGACTTGAGTTAAGAATTTTGGGAACTCAATCGGGGAACTCAATCGATCATGCACACGGTTAGATGGGATGCAAGCCTCTTTCAGTGTGCTCATATAAGACAGCAAAGCCTTGACCGACATCGCCTGCCATGGATGAGCCAGATGAGCTCACAGCAGAGGCGCACCCGTGCTTCCGAAACCCGAATAAACCCAAATCCTTAAACCCGAAACCCGACCACCTCCTAATCTCCACGTTCTGCCCTTGCAGCAGCTTCGGATATTTGTCAGAGCACTTGGTTCTTTTGGTCCTAGAACCTCCTGCAGCAGCTTCGCGGCATTGTCAGATACTGCAGCTGAGCCGCTTGATAGGCATTTCCTCATAAAGGTTTTGAATCTTGCAGCAGCTGCTTGGCTGGAGTTCCCGAGGATACTTCGGAATGCTGCGTCTTCTAATTGCAAACACGCATGAATGGAGCAACGAAGGTTCCACTGCCCCTACTCCATATTTAACAAAACCACAGCCACAGAACGTGCTTGGATGCAACTTTAGTTGGGGGGCTCATGGCCAGTGGCCCGTCGACTCCTCTATCTGACCTGGAGCAAGCCTCGCCCGTAAAGACAAGGAAGCTGACATATGTCCAGCATGATAATGTGGTTTATGCCAGTAGGGAGCTGCCTGCTCGTGGTGGTTGAAAGATCTGATCAAGCCGGCAGCGAGGAAATAAGCAGACGACAATTCTGCGAGCATGGGGTCTTTTCGCAGCCACGTAAGCTCCCGGCTGCCGAGCCTATACCTAATTTACATCTGCACTTTGCGGAAAGTGTGATGGATGCTGGGTCAACACTGGCAAAGTGTATCGTTTCGAGGCCAGCATCCAACAAGGCCACTTTTTTCGCTTGGTTGTCAGCACTGCACTCAGTTGCCGTGGCAAGCCTCGCGCGCACAGGAAAGAGAGCGAAGCTGATTTCGAGGGGCACGTGCGCAAGTGGGAGATTTTCCAAGGATGCCCGCTTCACGTGCCGAGGTGGTCTTTCCGTGCTTCCACATGGATTGCGATTTTGACACCGTTCTTGCTGGCCCTGGCCGGCCTTCGGGCGGGGCAGCTTTGGAAGCTTTATTTTGCAGCCGACGCCACTGTCAAGATCGATATCCTCAACTACAGTGGCAATCCTCAAAAGTCATGCTATGCTGTTCTTTAGTGTTTTCGTTCTTCGATATTTTGGTGAGTGTTTTGCTAAGTCTTCTCTTGGCTATGCTACGCGAGTCAAGCCAAGGCTTGGGCCGAGCGGCTGCTGTTTTCCGGCGGAAGCTGCGGGGGACTTGGACAGTCACACCCTGGCCTCTTGCTGCTGTGCCAAGCCCGTCCGAAGACACGTCACATTATTTGTCGGCGTTCGAGACACTTGCCGGTGTCCTAAAGATGCACATGCTTCCTTAGCCGAGCCATGCCAGATAAATACGGATTTCTTTTCTGGCTCCGGGACAGCAGCCGCACGGACCTTCAAAGGTATTGCTCTTGTGCACGACTTGTGGCACATGAGGCGCAACATTATGAAAAACGACAAGGCGGCCAAGTCTAAGATGAGACTTCGCTCAGAAGGCTTCGGGGCACTGTTGGAAGGAACCGTGGGCGCGGTCTGGGCAGGGGCAGGGCCAGAGGCGGAAGGGCCAGGCGAAAGCTTCCCCCACACCTCTCCACAGATATTCGCGTTCCTGCTCTGGCTGAACTGCTTGCGCTGGGCCCTACCCAGGCATACTTTCATGTGCTTACACAAGTTGCTCTCAAGCGTGCGCCATGTGTGGCAGCAGACAGACTGTGGCTTCCGTCACGGAGCAGTATTTGGCAAAGAGTACGAAGGTGGTTTGCAAGACGGCGGGCAGGCATTGCCTCTGCCTCTCGTTGTGCTGCCGGGCAACCACCAACCCCGCAGCCGTCCGAAATTCTCAATGCCATCGTGAAGAATTGCTTGCGCTCACAGCTTCCGGCATCCACACACACCGAGGTCATGGCACATTTCGCAAGGAGCGTCTCGGTTCTTGCAGCGCCTTTGCCGTAAGGATCTACTGAACGAAAACCTGGGACGTTGATGGGAACAGAAACGACATCTGGCGCAGCTGATGGGCCCAGCGAGTGGATGAAGTACAAAGGAGGCAAGACGGTGCGTCGTCCATTCGCTAAGTTCCACGGCTTAGACAGAAAGTTCGTTTAAATATAAGCGATGCAAGACTAACGGGCCTGTCTAAGTCAACGTTAGCTTCAGTGTTTCTTTGCGGGTTGTGCTTTGCAGAGGAAGGCTCGCTTCATGGCACTTATCAAAGATTTCTTGAAGCGGATGCGTCTGAAGAATACTTCCTACATCGACGGGCTGTACAAACCGATTCCAGTTCCGAAGGGTGCTGCGAAGGACTGTTGATCAGTTGCGGCAGCATCTTCTCAAGCTTCATATTTTGCAGGAAGCTGTTGATGGCACCGAGCGTGCAAGACTGAGAATCGATCCAGAGATATCCAGAGATTCTTGATCGCTTTTGGGATAAGTTTGCTGTAGCGTAGCAGCCGCTGTCAGGGCGGCGTTGCCTTTGTTCTTGCTGGTTTTTCGGTGGCCTAGCCGCCTAGCCAATGTGTCCAGCAGTGCTCGGCAGAGATATTCTGGCAGCTTAGAAGCCACTGCCGGCGCAGTTGCCGCACGCAAAGATTGCTTTGACCCGTGCCGCGTGCCCCAGGCCAAGATCGGATGACGAGGAGCTCAAAGAGCATCCTCGCACGAGATAGGTAGTATTATTCAGCCGTGGCTTTTGCTCCGTCTCGCTGGCCTCACAGTCGTTTAAAGAAAAGGATCCGAAGGATTTCGGCGGCGCAAAACTCCAGCGCTTGTCTCCCTCGCTTCAGCTCGCAACCCAAATTAATTCACTCGCTGCTCTTCCAACTCGCCGGGAAATTGTACTCGTGTGCACAACAAGGTTTTGCGCAGGCACTTGCAATCGACCATAAGCAGTTACCGACAAGAGCGAGCTTTAAACCGCAAATCCAACCCTCGCGTCGCACAGGAGCCGGCGAGATGAAACAGTGACGTCTGGTAGGTCACTGTTCGGCAAGCTGTGCAAAGATCACTGCGCCAGTTGGGGCAGGTAAACCCGCAAACACTTGTGATGTTTTTTCAAAGCATACAGTCTGTTAAGGCATATAGTGAACGACCCGCCTCAGAACTTCAGAATCCTTCGCGCGGCCCGCCCTCGAGTTTTATTCGCAATTAGTTTCCACTATGGGGTTCGCGGCGGAGCTGAGGATGCACGAAAACCGTTTTGGTGGTAGCCGAGATGATTCTCGTGTGTTCGCCAAATGTATCTTTTTTATTAACTCGATGTTAGCCGTCCTCACTCTGGACCCGAAGTTTGTGAGAAGGACCTGCACCGAAAGACCAGATCAGCAGGCATCCGCAACGAAGGACCAGCTGATGTGTCCTGCTGCTGCTGACGTGTTCTTCTGCTGCTGATGCCTTGTCGTGCTGAGGTTTTCATGCCTTGTCGTGGTAAAGTTGTTTGCTGGCGTGCTGCCAACATCTCCTGTTATGGTGTGGATTTTTTGCTGTCGTGGTAACAACACGCTCTGTTACAGCGTGTTTTTACGTTAATATAGTAAGAGCGTGCATGAAGCTTGATATCCTTGAAGTTCAGAGCTGGCTGGTGCTTCGAAATTGAATCAAGCATGACAACAAATCTGAGGTGTGATCACGTACATTGTAATCACGGTCTTCGCAGTGTTGAATGTCGTGACAGGCAGGGCCCGCGGACGGAACATGCCGCCATTGCATTTTACGGTTTAGGGTTTGGTATATGGGCCTCAGTAGTTACCTGTGTTATTTTGAGGGCTCCTTATTGTAAGTTTAGTATAGTGGGCCCCAAAACCTTATTGTAATTATTAAGGCTATATAATGGTTTCGGGGTTTCGACCAACAGCTCATATCGTCGTTTGTGCTGCAATTGCGATCTGATATCACAGTCGCCTGAAGGCGTCTTCTGCAACACCGCAATTGCCGCTCTGCCGCATGTATTGTTGACTTTCTTCACGAGCTGTAGTTGCGCCAGAAGCCTCTTTTTCGCAGGTTTCAGCTTGGAAGGTTCGCGGGCACCTGTGACATACGGACACGAGAGGTATCCGCGCTCGCATGAACATAATTACGTTTGCTTGTCGTGCTCCATGTTATGCCAACATGCCAGAGAGCGCGATAGATTGCAATACAAGGTGCGGAAATGTCAGCTAAGCCAATCCAGGTAAAAATTGAGCAGGGGCAGTGAGACTTGTCGCTGAGGAGAGCGCTCACGCGGACAAAGATATCGCGATCATGAAGCAGATGAACAAGAGAAATGCACAGGCAAGAATCCCGGTAGGTAGGAGGCTGTCGGTGCACGGCACAAGTGCAGAATTGGTGCGACGTAATTTGAATTTGCCACACTCGCTGCAAAAGTTTCGTATGTCGAGTTGCAACGTGAAATCACTGCCAACTTCCCGAACACCTAGACCCTGTGTCCCAGAGTTTGCTTGGCCGATCAAGCGCTTTTGCTGCAGATCGAAGCACTGCGGCATATCTTTGGAGAGATCGACCGTGACCGTTCGAACAAGGCAGCGGTGCATCTCGCAACTAGTTGGTGCAGGAATGGGTCTATTTTCCGGGTTGGGGATCCGAACCGACACGTTTCATGTCCAGCATCAAGAGCCAGAATGAGCAGCGTCCATGATGTCCTCATGTGACTCCAGCCAGGTCAGCATTCAGGAGCTCAAGGACGGCTTTTCAAACTGCCCTAGGTTGTTCTGGGGGGTAATGTAGAATTCATATGACCGGACAGAGAAGACTTCAGCCCTGGAGCGCGCATTCATTTGGAAGACTAATATATAGGGGCCTTGATAAATAGAATAGGGTTTAGGGGTATATTTCTGCGATAATGACAATAAGGAGCCCCCCTCAACCTTGTTCTCATTATTACGGCCCCGTAGTACACCCAAAGAACCAGTGCTGCCAAGGGCTTTCCTTGAATGCGTGGACCTGGAAAGGACGCGATGGACACTCAAAAGCTGTCCAGTTTCATGGAATCCCTCGGCATCTCAACTGAGGACTCTCCACAGCCGAGCTCCCGACACGGTCACTGATTACAGCCAAGGCTACTGCAGGCATCGCAGGTCATTTTGTGGTTGTTGGTTCCCAGTTTGCGGGAAAAGTCGGCTCTGAATGATTGCCTCTAACTCCTTCACCGCAACATTGGACGGGAGGGTCCCCTTAGCCATGACGGAGGAGAGTGGAACACTGGAAACCACCATTCATAGATTTAAATGTTGTCTTCCAAGATTCGGATCCTAAACTCTAAACTGCAGTGTCGGAAGACATTTACACCAAAGACATGTTTCTGCATCATAAGAGGGAAGAAGTTTGTCGCCCGCCGTGGCAAGCACTATAGAGATGAGGTCAACAGACTGGGAGACTCAATGTCTACTGTCTGATGCTTCTGATTTGTGATAGAGGAGAGAAGGATTTACAAACACTGAATACACATCGAGAGTTACACACAACCTTCTTACGGGGCACGGCGACAAAGAAAACTGCTCCTTTAGGCTTTAGACACCTCCAGGACGTTTGGACACTGTTCATGGTCATCGACTCTGATGCGGCTTAGTCGCAACAGTGCTCAGACCAGACGCACCAAAGTGGCAATGCTTGTGAATGAGTTGCTCGTCGAAGGAGCCAGTTCAGGCACGCATGCCTGAAAATCACAGCTGTTTAACCTCGAACCGAAATGCAAGAGTGGCAATCTGGGCATGGGAGAAGTGAAGCCACGGCGCCATGCCTGCTAGGATACTCTCATTGCAGCTGGAAGAGATTCCAACAGCGCAGAAGCCCCCTCCAGACCGACAAGTAGTGCTGCGATAACACGATGCCGTGCAGCGGCCCCTTGCAGCTCCCAGCTGCCGAATTGCTGTTGGACAAGCCTGTTGAGGAGAGTGGTGAGATCACCCTCGACGAATTTGTTGGTGGCTGCGCTTTGGATTGCATTGGGGGCAGCCAAAAGAAACCACACTTGAGCCATTTGAGCCCTACGTCGTTTGGAGCAAGCCGCCTCCTGCCACGACATCCTGAAGCCGGAGCCAGTCTCATTGTACATCAATGTACTTCAAATCAACTCCTTTTTTTTTTTCGTTGGTGAGTGGTTACATCCGAGTCAGAGTTGTGCATTTGTTGATTTGGGTTGCTCATGTTCTCTCATGCCTGCTCACCTCGGCGGCTCACATACAAACAGGAAGCCATTGTTGCACACCTGGTGCACACATCTCAGATCGAGGATGATTGCACCATGCTGCAAGTGTAAACAGCAACACAAACGCCAGTGTAAGGGTCAGCCGTTTATTTCTCGATGGCCACCTTCCGTCTTACGAATGGAAACGGCGAATGCGAGCTGCATAATGAAAGGATGGTGTTGAACCACGAAGTTAGCCCAGACACAAAGCTATCGAAATCTGAGACCCTGATCGGCACAGATCGCTCACAAGCAGCCCAGGCATGACGCTGAATGGGCCTGCCCGGAGTCTTCATCTTGCGCGGATGAGTCACGAAAACAAGGCTTGGAAGCTTCTGGAAACGCCGTCTTCAAAACCTGCATCACGAAGACAGACTTTACACTTGGATCATTTCTGATGCTGTTCCTGTGCTTATACTAGAGAAAGCTGTCACCCGCAAGCACAGCGCATTACTTGATAGTTGATGTTGCAGCACGAGTGCTATGTTCACACGCTTGCTCTACTTCGACCACATCGGATTGTATGAATGGTCTTTGCTTGCCAGGTCACTCGACAGGAGATCAAGCAGCTTAGTGCCCAAATGGCGGGAGTACTGGACGCCCTTGGCGTGGATATGGCTGTCTCCGCAAAAAGTGAGGGTGTACCATGCACCGTCTTCCAACTCGGACCGTTCGGACGGGGATAGCTTGGGGTGTGCAGTCAGACCAGAACTAAGTTGCAGTTTAGCGATGATCTGGAGCTCTTTGAGGCCATTGGTGTCCTCCGGGAGTGCGTATTCTTTTCAGACTTTCGTACGGCCAATGCGGATGTCAGAAAGTCACTTTAGGCGTGGGTATGTCAGATATGTTCCGGGGGTTCTAACTTAGGGCTGCAAGTCGTCCTGCTCGCACTGTCAGTTCTCTCCTTCCGAGCTGTCGGAACCTCTATCACATAGGGGCCGTAATACTTACCTATACTGTTTTCGGGCTCCTTCTTAAGTTCATAGTATAGTAGTTTACCCCCGCCCCAAACCCGATTTATCAAGGCCCCTACATGATAGAACTCTACTATAGATCCCTTTAAAGGATCCCTTTAAAGGAGCCCGAAGGTTCTTTCTTGCCTCGCAGTCTTGAGTGCGAGAGGCTCCGCGACCAACGGCGGCGGTTTTGCCAACGTTGCCTGTCCCATTTCAGCTCAGATATATAGGGGCCGTAATCATTAGAATAGGGTTTTGGGGCCCATTAAAACAAGGCCCATGAAACTATTATTCTAATAAGGAAGGCCCATTAAACTGCTATTCTAACAAGGAGCTTGCGTAAGCAGTGGCCCCCAAGCCACTGGAAGCCCTGATCTTGAAGATCCTGAGTCACCTCCACAAGCCCTACTTAAAGGATCATGGGACTTAGTAACTAGGGTTATAACTAGGTCTACTTATAACCACTTATAACCCCGATTAAGGTACTTATAACCCTACTTACTAAGTCCCATGATCCTTTAAGTATGCTCCAGAACCCTACTTTGCCCCAATTCGAAACCTCATAGACTCACAAAGTCCTTGCAGGCTTTCCCTGAAGCCTCGAGCAGCTCCCCTAGTAAGCTCTAAAGCCTTACGCGGCACCACACCCCTAGTGTTAGTGGTGGTGGTGGTAGTAGTAGCAGTAGTAGTAGTAGTAGTAGTAGTAGTAGTACTAGTAGTAGCCTCCAAACCCCAGGTGCTACGCGCTGCACCGGGGCCCCAGGGCTCTGGGAGCTGTGCTCTTGGCAGTCGCCTCCGAGAGGCCCAGCGGGGGGCAGACCATGGTTTGATCATACGGTTTAGGGATTTCCCAATTAAGGGATATTGGAGTCCCTGGGAATTTGGGTTCCGGGTTTAGGAGTTTGGGATTTTGGGTTTTAGGGTTTCGGGGATTTGGAGTTTAGGGCTTAGGGGTTTGACCATTTGGATTTTGGGGGGTTTCGGTGGTTTTGGGGTTCATGGCGTTGGGGGTTTTCGCGGTCTCGGGTTTTGAGGTTGATTGAAAGTACCATAGACCCGGAAATCCTAATCAAAGCAAAGAAAAGGAAAATGTAGGGTTAAGGGTTTACCCTAAGTCAGAATCAAATCCTAAGCCCTAAACCCCCGTTTTTATAAGCCCTGAACTCTTACACCCCAAGCTTCCCCCCTAAACCCAAAACCCTAAACCCTAAAACCTAACCCTTTACCAGGCCTTGAGCAACAACCTGGTGCCCTTGGTGCTGGCGGAAAGCTCTTCAGCATCATCGGCTCTGGAAAGCTTCCTTGCATCAGGCTCGGGCTTGTGGGAGGGGGGGGTTGAGCACTACGGTTGATGAGGGAATAGGCGAATGGGTTTCGGAGACCATTAGGGGACTATATAGGGACTACCATAGGCATCCATTCCCCCATTCCCTACGGTTGATGATCTAAATCCTGCATTACCCATAATGAGGAATATACTATAATTCCCATAGTTTAGGGTCCTTAAGGTAATGCAGGGTTTATATCATCAACCGTAGGTACGTTTAGGGGGTTCGAGCGTTGCAGGCTTCGGGCTCAGGGGCCAAGGCCCTTCGTCCTGCTCACATTTCCTCTGAAAGTAGAAGCCAGAAAGTTGGAATATCATTATCGTAGCCCCTTTAAGGTAAATTATAGGGGATCCTACCATTAATCCATATTCCAACTTTCTGGAGTTCCCTTTAAAACACGATCTGCAAGTGGGCACTGCGCGAGCATTCACAGACAGGGCTGGGAAGCAAAGCGCAGCAAGACAGGGCTGTACATCTGCTGAATGACGTGCAAGACTTTTCTATCCAAGGTGTGTGTATTTCGAGCATGTCATGCGAGATGTGGGCATGGATTCAGACTTAGGCTGTCTTGCATGTCAGGTGCTGTCGACGATCCTGCCATGCAGTGTGTCAGCCTACGACTTTGCGCTCTGGAGCAGAAGCGGCAGCGAGAAACGTGGCACGCGAAACACACCGGTGGCTAATATAGGGGCCTTAATAATTAGAACAGGGTTTGGGGGAGATTATACTGTAAATGTGATAAGGACCCTTTTCTAATTATTAAGGCCCCTACATTTTTGTTGCCCCATTTTCCAGAAAGTGTAACACTGTGCAGCGGGAGTCTTGCATAGCACTGACAGATGGAGACTGCGCTAGTGAGACGAGGAGGTTCCGTGAAGCAACCACGGGCACGAAGAACTGCAGCCAGCTCAGGACTTCAAGCGCTTCTTCCGGAATGCACTGAAGTCTGCTATCTTGTCAGGAAGCTTCTTCACGCTACCAGGGCGCACTGAGTACATAACGCATTCTGGAACGCAAGCTTCGGCGATGAGGTTGATAAGGGCGGTGATACAGAGTTGAACAAGAAGAGATGAGTATCGTCAACTGCTCATCAGGATGATGGGCATGACAATAGTGGTGGCTAAAGTGGGTGCTTGCTATGCTTGTGGCTGTAGCTCTATGTGCCGGTGTGTTCAGCAGTGGTTCTTGTCGTGTCCTGTCATGCGTCTTCTCCTGCAATCGTGACTGAGTTTGTCGAGGCTCGTCTTCGAAGATGACGATGGGGCTGCTGGCATTGCCGAAGATGCATGGCTTCAGCGCGCAGCATCCATGCAGAACCTGGAGGCATTTGTCAGGGAAGGTTTGAAGAGCTGAGAGGTTCGATGCGGAAGCATTTCTGTGCGTATGATTATATACATATGAACGATTGTACGGATGTATGGCTCCTTGAGTTTGGTTGCATTTGGTTAAGTTTTGGTTTGCTTTGCCTGTTGCTTGGTTGTTGGTTGGCTGTTGGTCGGTTGGGTGGTTGTTTGGTTGGTTGGTTGCGTTTGTGTTTTTTGTTGGTTCGTTTGTTTTCGCTGGTTGGGCGGGCGAGCGGAGCGGGAGAGTGGGCGGCTTGTTTGTTGTTGTGTGTCTTGTTTGTTTGTGTGTTTGATTGTTCGCTCGCTGGCTGGGTAGTGGTTTGTTTGCTTGTTTGCTTGTGCGTTGTGGCCTGTTATCTTCCCTTCTGTCGTGTCATTTCATATCATGTCGTGTGACACTGTGATGCATGCAAACATGTGTTTGGGTGTTTGTCAGGTTTGTGTTTCCCAGCAACATACGTGGATGGGTGTGTGTGTATATATATATACATATATTATATATTATATATATATATATATATGCGTATATACACAGGTATGCACGTATGTATGTAAAGATACGGAAGCATTTGTTTCTCGTGCATCCGTAGTGTGAATGCCAGGAAAGCTTTTTGGGCCGCAGCCCCTGAGGTCGTCCCTGAGGAGTGGGCACTCTCCTCATTCTTCAGCAGCACCTTAGCTTTGCTTTGTGGGTTTAGGGTTGAGGGTGCATTCGTTCGTGGCATCTATGGGTTCCGGTCTAGAACAGCAAACCGCCAGGCAAAGCTACATGGGGGTGAAACTTCGGGATGAAGGCTTGCGTCTCCAAATAGAATCAAAAAAAACAGGCATGATGACAAGTTGCAGTTACTAGTAGGTTCGGCGGTTACCCTGCGAACGGAAAGGATACCCTCCCTCCCAAGACCGAAGCATGAGTACAGGCTCTTCGCTTCCGCCTGAGATCTTCTTGCCGCTCACGTTCAACGCACGTGGCAAGGCACAGTGACTGCACCCGTCAACACTTTAGGGGGGTGTGAGGGGGAGGGGGGTAGGGGACCATACTTCCTGTAATAGGCCTTATTAAGTCCTGATTATGGGCATTAATCGGCTACTTCCTTGCCAAAAGGATGTTGGCAGAAGCAATGTTAGGGGAGTGCGCACGGGGGTAAAATCAGGTAGGCCTCAGAGGACGAACCCTCGAACTCAAAGGGAGATGCAGCCAGTTCACCGGCAAACAGTGGCGGCAGAGTTCCTGCCCCTTTCACTCGTGTTTTAGCTTTGTATATCTGTGTGTGCAACTTGCTCATTTGCTCCAGGCGCACTTGCTGCTGCCAGAAGCAGATGCAGGCGACACGGTTCCGACGTGATGGGTAATCCTTATTTTGCTCATCAAGCTCCGGCAAGATTAGATGATGCACATGCCGCCCCCCTCTACCGAGCCAAGCAAACTGCAAGCTGAAAAGCCAGGTACGGAGACGGTGGACACCCCTTTCGAGGCAGCGGAGGGGCAAGAAGAGGCAGCTCCAAAGCCCACGTTGTCCAAGGACTCGCTGGATGCTGGCCCGGGGACCCGTACAGGGTAGATACCTGTGGGGTCTGCTAAAAATCTATCTGGAAGTAGGTATTTCATGTAGACATTCTAGGAAGGTTCATGGGTCCTTCAGGGGTGGCACACCATGCGCACATGCGCAGGAGGAGCTCATGCAACGTGCAGCCGCGGAGCTGCCTCCCATGACAAACTTGGGACCCAGCGGACACGTCTGGGAGCTCACCGAGGAAGAGGCAGCTTGGCAAAAGCGCAGAGCTTCGGAGAGCTGACTGGAAGCCACATGTAGGGAGTGTTCTCCATGAGGCGAGCCTTCGCTGCTTGGTTGCAACTGGCTCTGGTCTCTTGCAAAGAACTCATGCATGCTAAATGCGGCGACATGATGCCGTTACCGCTTCTCAAGCACAGCGAATGAGTCGTCTGCATGTCGCCATCATCATACGGTACTTGAGGTGACAGCGCCGATACCAAGACAATGCTCGGCCTGCCAGCGCCTTACGGATCCTCACGTCAAGCTGAAACATCTTCAGTGCAAGCTATCAATGAGGCCCATAAGGCCAACGACGCAACTAGATTCGTTTGTTAATGTATGTACTGAGCGAGTCGGAGCATGCCACGAGGCCTCTGCAATTCCAAGTGCTACCTGCTGCCGTGGCCACCGGCCGAGTGCCAGATGGCTTGGAAGATACCGAGGCCCAGGGAACTAGGAACTGTACAAGTCCAGCAGCTAGCACATTATGTGGTCAATACATTGTGTTATGTTACAAGCATTACAAGATAAGGAGTATATAGGGAATGGTGAATAGTCACTGGCAACACAGCTGTTTTCTGTCATGTTATGTCCTGAAACCTATGGACTCTTTTTCAGTCAAACAGACGGAGTTGGTCATTGCCACCCTTTCACCAGACGATCAGGTACGGAAGTGGGCTGGAGACTGAGTTGCCAGGAATGCTTACAAGACTCCTCTCCCATCGCATACCTTTCGGCAAGTACGACTGGACCGTCCGCCAGAACGTGCAGATGCTTTGTCGCTGTGTCCATGAGTTCATTGCAAACGGTGCTTTCTTTTGCAGACTCAGGTCAAGCAGAGGTTCGGAAAGCACGCTCCAGTGCACCGCATAGCACCTCGGCAATGTAAACAAGCAGGACTGCGGATGCCTCCGGGCTGACGTGATTAGGAGCTGTTGATTGGAGCCTAAGGCGATCATTCTCCTCACTGGGAAGCCTCCTGGTATGGAAGAGAATCGCAGGGCCACTTGGACAGGTACATGTAGCTCGGGGCCGGGCTGTAGATGCATAGAGCGGAAGGCATGACGATAGTCGCGGTGCGACCAACTTGCCATGGACCTACTGTCTGCTGTGGTTGAGACGCGAAACTAAGGACAGTGATGCTGCCTGATGAGGTTGCAAACAGTCAGAATTGAAGTTTCACTTGTACAAACCGTAGGAGCTCCCACAGTACTGTATGCCTTTGCATGTCTGTCGGTTGCAACTGGTGCTACGCTTGTCTGACTCGTTCAAGGTCCTGCCTAGTAGTAAGTCGTGCGAGTGAAAGCCATTGTGGGATCAGTTTCACTTCCCGGAGGCTTGAATTGAGCTGGAGAAGGGTGTGAAGAGTTTCACCAACATGGCGACGTGCAGCGCCGTTCATCCAAACAGCCCAGCTTCCCTCTCTCCGCACAAGACCATCCCAAATGTGTCTCGTGAGCCTTTGCCGGAAAGTTGCTCCTAATACTGCCAACTTGTAGGTCGATCCACTGGCCCGCTTCGTGCCCCCCGGGCGTCTACTCGAGGACTTCTATGTTTCAGAGCAGCTACTTCCTCAATTCAGTAGCTTCGGCATAGTTCTTACTGGCACCAGCCTGCGAAAGCTGGCAGCAAGTCGAGTTTGCGTGTGCTAAGACGACGGACTTCCACAACAAAAAGTTCAAATATATATATATATATATATATATATATATATATATCTACGCGCTAAAATCACGCGCCAGGACTCGCCGGACTCAATGAGACCAGGAGGCAGCATCTTGCACTGCGGAGCTTGTCCGCGCCGCCTTCCTCAGCTGCAACTCCACGATGTCATTTGCAGCCACACGGCTTGCTGAGCTTTCTCTAACACATGCAAGAACCACATCTGCCCCGTCAGTCAAGTCGTCGGACAAGACCCTAACTGACCCAAGAACGAATCAACTTCATGTCTTGACGAACTCTTCCCTAGTGACTAGTCGCTGCCCCCCACCCCACCGCGCACGTTTGCCGACGTAGACTTTTGAGGTTACCCTCTGAATTCCAAATCCCCAAACCCTCGCGCTCCCCCTCAATTCTATCCTTTGGGGCCTACTTCCAGAACGGCATCCTACGCTCCTAAAGCCTACTCGCTCCCAGAGCCATGGTGCTGGTGCCGGGCCGAAGAGAGCTTACAGGGACCGATGCTCGCCACTTACAACGAAGCTGGCTCGCATGCCAAGGCATTTTGAGTTTCGTTAAGGGTTTTGGGGCTTAGGGCCGTTTAGGGCTTTACTTGTTGTTGAGCGTAGGATTGACCTCGATAGCGGTGTTGGATCCACATGCAACTGCTCTATGGACTCCATGGTTGCTCGAAGGGTTACCATAGAAGCTACCAAGAAAATCAAGACTGCTCGAGGCGGTATGTTGGTACCGTTCACATGAGGCGGATATTGTGTTGAGCTGCTTTCATGGCAGAAGTAGCTGGGAGACTCAGGATGAGCGAGTCCTGTGTGAGCTCCGCATCAAGTGAGGCCGATTGCTGTGGTTTGCCTTTCGGTTTAGGGTTTTAGAAATTTTAGGGTTCAGGATCTAGGGATGCTCTCAAGCGTTTGACAAGTGCCCAAGTTGGGGTTTATGGGTAATGCTTCTCTTACAGATTGCAATTTGTCAATTCTTCTTCTCATCTACATGGCAAGAGAATGCAGAACTATGTCCTGTATGCAGTGGCGTTGTTATTTTCTTCGCTTTCATAATACCAACGGACCAGCCCTTCAGAATACTGCATCGTATCAGCAGGAAGTACGCAATTCTATGTCCTGTTGGTGGTGCTCATATGGTGGTGTGGTATTGATGGCGGCGGTGGTAGGGACCATCCATCTCTGGCTCTATTTTCCCTGTGTTTGCTTAGTAGTGTGCCGCTGATAGAAGTGAGCGCTACAACCTTATTGCTTGTTGTCGGTTGCTATCATCTGCTGCTGCTATCCAACATCATTACCAATCGTTCCTAGCTTGTTGATTCTGACACATGTGCATCTGTTATCATGTGTCGGCTTCTACTCCTGCAAGCATATCACATGTACATGTCTGTTCAGGCCTCAGGCTTGTCCTTTGGGGACTCGAGTGATTCTTTGGAGGAGGACAGTCACCACGCCGCCCCCTGCTGGATACATGTTGTGTGCTATCAGCTTGAACCACTGCCCCGTCATGAGCTGTTGCCGCCAATCATGTAGTGCTAGAGGTGGAGATGTTGTGATGTTGCCTATCCCAACAACAGTCCGCGCATTGTGCAGGATTCCGAAACGTCCGAAACAGCTTCTTGCCATTAATTTGGGCAACTGATCCTGTCAGTTGGTGTTCATGTCCGATTGCAGATGTTTTACACCTTTTTCAGGACATGTTTGCACTGTTTCCTGAGGCGCGGCTCGGCAGTTGGTTTCGCAGCTTGACCAGAGGAAGGGTGTTACTTGGAGGATCATGGGACTTAGCAAGAAAGGTTACAAGTACCTTAATTGGGGTTATAAGTAGTTATAAGTTATAAGTAGAGTTACTCTAATTATAACCCTAGTTACTAAGTCCCATGATCCTTTAATTTAAGTGTTACCTTGTGACGAACGATCATCCACGATAACGAAGAGGGAGCATGCTCCCCTCCGCCGAGGCCTCACCAGCCTTGACAAGCGGCCATCAAGATCTTCGAGACGCTGCCTGCTCGCAGATATGCAGCTACTGCGCGGACACCTATGCATTGGATTATGTTGCTTCGCAGTGTTCACATATACATGAAGGCATATCGCATAGTTACACGTTGTGCTTGCTGAGTTAATTACTGTTTATGATTTCGCCATGGTTTGACCGAAGGTTCTCATCAACTTGGTCCGCGGCTCACATGGCGCCAGGCCTTGCCTGATTGCACATTTGCATCCCGGCTCGACTCATTGGGTTTTGATGTATCCCCGCCTTTTGGGCTGTAGCGGGTCACTGCAAAGGTCACGAATCACAGTAAGCCTGTGTCAGTTGGTCGCCAAGGCCATCTTCCAGCTGCTGCTACTCGTTCCCCCCCTGTTCCCGGAGTTCCTGTCGCTTCATGCCCGCATTTCTGGTGGCCGACCCTTGCAGCATTTTGCGAGTCGTCCATTCGAGACAGTTTGAAGGGTGCTTTCCGTCCAGTTCGATGCAGTACACAATGCGATGGGTCGCAGCGGGCTGTAGTGACAGAAAGTGCTACTGAAGGGCGGTGCTCATGCCCTCGTGCTCTTCAAACCTAAGGCTAAGTGATGGCTCCGAATTCTGTGCCGATGTGGTCGAGGCATTGTGAGTTTGCCGTTCTCGCACGTGGGCCATGCGTGCAGTATTATTTGCACTGATATGCACTGCCACACACAAGCAACTTTGACTGTCAAGTGTTGGGCATGCGACATGTGATGTGCGTAGAGTTGCGCATCGATTGTCTCCACAGACTTGTGCATTGCCTCGATTTCTAGATGCCCAGCTTGCACCATGCAGGCGCGAAAGGAGCATCTGGGAGGTCATTGCGGGGCGGACCTGAGCTCGTGTTCTCATGACATCATGTTCGTTTCTGTCAGAAGCAGTCGATCCCTGCATTGCCGGCGCATTCCTTTTGCCAATTCCTTTGATCTGCACCTCATGACATGTAATTTACAATTCTGCATTGCATCCTGTCCCTGCAGATGACATCAATGGCATCGCCCCTGGCATGAGATTCTCCGTGCTGGTTTACTCCTTCAGCGCGCTCGTCAACATCGCCGCAAATCTGTTTCTTAGATCCGCAGTACCTAACATTTAAACTTCTTGGGTTCTTATAGCTTAGTAGGAATCGGAAAGTCTAACCTTTTATTTCCGTGGCTTATTGTCGTAGTAAGGTTTATCTCACTGCGGATGCGCTTGACCTTTGCTTCTGCCTCAGGGCAGAGCAAGATGCTCAGCAACTTCGGCCTTTAATTGGAGAGTGATAGAAGCGCAGTGCAGGGTGGCGCCCTTGCCGTATCGGCATTTGCCATTTCACCATTATTATTGCCATTATAGTTATTATGAATACTATTATTCTTGAATTATTATTACTATTGTTATTATCATTGCTGCTATTGGCTTCTGGTTCTGACAGGCACAGAGGCCTCAGTCTGCTCCGTCTTGTCGCTGTCCTGGCTGCTGGCCGAACTCTCTGCCGCCAGCTGTGCAGCCACGTGGTGTTTTCCAGGACAGGGCTCAATGGGCGTTGAGAGCCGAATACTTAAAGGATCATGGGACTTAGTAACGAGGGTTATGACGAGGGTAACTCTACTTATATAACTACTTATAACCCCAATTAAGGTACTTATAGCCTTACTTACCAAGTCCCATGATCCTCCAAGTATTTTTGTCGACCCTAAGCACCCAAACCGCTGAAGGACTTCGCGGTATTCAATTGGGCTTGGCGCTCAACGTGGTCACGTCGCCTTTGCTGCTCCTCTTGGTAGCAGCATTCATAAGGCTGGAACAGGGATGTTCGAAGCTTAGGGTGAGCAGTCGATTTGGGCTGTTCGAAGATGATTAGGGCTCCCTTCAATGTGCTTTTGGTCATAGCAGATAACAAAAGCCGGAAGTTCCGAAGGTCCGCGAGCCGCATACTTAAGTACTCAAAATGCTGGGGCACAGAAGCTGGAATTCAACTGCCGGGGCCCTTAAGCTGGGGTTCGGAAGTGTAACGTGATCCAGGTGCCCATAGACCTTCTGGAACACCCGGCGTTTTCCTGGTCCTCTTTCCAACATGCTGGGAGGTCTGTGAAGCTGCGGCTGAAGCTTCTGGAGGTTGGCTATGGGAAGCCCTTGGGTGCCCTGCCTGAACGACCGGTATGGGCTTGTTCCTTTGTAGCTGCGTGAAAGGGCCGAACCGAAGATGTTCACTTCGGTTGTTCTTGAAAGCTTCAACCTGATGGCTCTACTGCTCAAAGATTTGGCAACCCCCGAACGCGACCCCCTGCAGCCAACCAAGTGCTGTGTACCTTGCCTCGCCACAGCCAGCATGGCAAGCAGGGCAAAGCAAATTGCGACCTTGCTGCTTGCAGCGATTTGGTCTTCCCATGCGGACATGTATCTCAATAACCCACGTGGATCGAACAACAAGTTGCGGGAGCAGAGCAATAACGTCCAAAATGCCAACCGGCTTTTTGACTCGCAGAACAACGCAGCTTCGGGTTATCAGATTGGCGATGACTGCAAGCCCGCATGCAAAGACGGCGACAACAACTACGATGTCACCGTCGAAGGCGCCACGCTGGGAACCATGAAGTACTACCAAGGATCGGAAGTGTACATCGAGTGGCATAATCAGCATGGCTGTGGTGTAGGACATCCGAACCTGCACTGCCAGATCATCCTGCAGTACACGACCGATAAGGAGAACCCTAACCTGCGAGATGGGACGGACCAGGACAGCGCAGGTGGAGACGACAACGATCCTACTGCGGAGGAGACGGCCGAAGTTGCACGAGGATATCACGAGACTCTGGATTACTATGAGTCCTGCATCACAAGGGAGCGGAATAAGGGCCTCTACACAGCAGATCAGCAGATCGAAGAGAATGGCGGGGCGACATCCACACGCCAGAACCCAAATGGAAATGGACGCCGTCGCGGAAACACAAGGCATGGATTGGAGTGCCCGGAGGAGAGGGACTATTACCCCTACTGGCATCCGACACCCTGGCACGACATTGCCATTTTGACCGACGAGCCGCAGAGCCGTTGCGAGTACTACAGAGCCGAGTCCCAGAACGTGATGCCCAAGGGTCTTTGCTCCGACCCTTTGTACAACCAGCCCGACGCCTGCACTGGCAATGGTGGAGAGTGGACAGAGGAGCCGGCCTTCGAGGAACCCCCACCCGAGTGCGTGGGAAGCATTGGAAGCCGTGACAACCACAACGGCAACGTTCGCAACGGACATGCGCATTACTATGTCTGGAAGATCCCCGAGTACGTGAAGGGGCGAGTTGTCTTGCGAATCCGCTACAACATCAGCACCGGCGACTTCGGCCTGGGATCTCTGGCAAACCCTAAGGAGGAAGGTGCCGAGCTGAAAGGCATCAAGGCTGATGACTTCTTTATGGACAGCAAGTTCAACGATCCGAACCCGGGCAATCGCCGCCGCACGATTTTCACGGGCCGACCAGCTGTGCCTCTGCCCTTGGCGCAAGATCCTGTTGCAGACTGGCTTGGCCTTGGGGAGACGGGGGCCGATTTGAGTCGCTTGCTTCAGATTCAGGTGAACACCAACCAGTATGGCCGGACTTTCGAAGATCGTACCCATACCTTCATTGTCATGGAGAGGCCAGCCGACGTCCCCATGTCCAAGCGGATCGTTACTTGGCGTTCTTCTGGTTGGCTCTTAGGACTTTAACTTCTTGGGTGTCTACATGAAGTATCCTACTAAGTAGTCTGATAGTTTAGCTTGAAGGATGGGTTCAGAAGCCGGCCAAGGTTAATTACAACGTTCGCGGAAGAAGAGGAAACATCGTGCAGGTCTACCCCTCGGTGGAGTACGACTTCGTTCCACCCGAGCTTGAGGTTGAGCAGGGGACCCTTTTGCACTTCCAGTGGACAGGCTCCGATGCCAACAACAATGGAAATGCAGGAAATGGCCGAGCTGGAACAGACCGATCCAACCTGGTCCAGGTGCAGTCCCGCTCAGAAACGGTCCCGCTGCCTCTCGAGAAGCACACCTTGCTCTTCGACGCTGCAGCGAACCCTGGCGATGCGGAAGGGAGGAAGCTTGTGGACAAATTCGCGTTCTTGAACCAGGACGACATTGTTACATGTGATCCTGAGACGAACAATCAGAACTCGGAGACTAATTGCAAGCAGCTGAATGGCGCATCGGCCTACTTCGATGGGGGTCTTGTGGAAATGAAGACGGTTGGCACCCATCACATTGCCAGTACGCGCAACAACGATTTCACCAACCGGTCACACAAGGCGAGCATCAAAGTGACAGGAGTCATCCTGGAGTTCTACGAGAACATTGCCTTGGGGGTGGCTGCCTTTTGTGGGTTGGTGCTCATCATCTACGTTGCCTGTGCTATTCACGCTGTGAGGAAGCCTGGCAGCTGGCTTTTCTCCAGGCGCTACCGACCGCGGGTGTTGAACTGGGTGATAGGCAAGGATCGTATGGCACGGCTGGTGGAGACACGGCGCCAGATCGTCGCACAGCAGAGGAAGGAGTGGGCCAAGAAGGCCAATGCCCATGCGGCCGATGAAGAAGGAGCCGATGGACAAACAGCCGAAGTGGCTTTGCCGGAAGAGTCCATGACGTGGTCCCAAGCCATCAAGCGCTGCTTCCGCAAGTGCGGCGTCGGTGAGCAGCAGCTGACCACACTCATGTATGCCGTGCTCAATATCCTGGTCTTCCTCATTGGCTTTCTGTCGAACATGAAGGGTGGCTTCCATGAGTCATGGGCGTATCCCATCGCCAAGGGGGGTGGCTACGCCATGGATCTCAACTTCTCCATGCTCGTGCTGCCCACATTGAAGAGCCTTCAGACCACGATGAGGCGCGTGAGCTCTTCACGCGAATGGGTGCCAATCGATGACCCCATCAACTTCCACATCGTCATCGCCAGCTATACAATGCTCAGTGCCGCTATCCACATTGTCGGGCACTGCTTCCACATGTGGCTCATCAAGACTTCTCCCGTCATTCAGCTTGACCCTCTGCATCTTTGGAAGCTCACAGCCGAGGAGCAAGCCAGTGGCATGACCTTGCTGCAGCAGCTCCTGAACATCCAAATCCGCTGCGCCGCGCTCACGGGTGTAATCCTCACCTTCATGATGCTCGCCATCCTGCTGACGGCAGTATCCTGCTCGCGCCGTGGCACGAACTGCCTCACTCGCCGCTGCTTCGGATACAACCTGTTCTGGCGTGTTCACATGTCCTGGAAGCTGATCTACGTCCTGTTGCTCTTGCATGCACCTGCTCGGCTTTGGATCTGGTTCTTCTTCCCGGCCCTCTTCGTGCTCGTGGACCGTCTGCTGCTCGCAAACCACCAGGCCATGTATCTGACGCTGAGAAGTGTGAAGCTGCTGCCAAGAGATGTCATCGGCCTGACCTTTGAGGTCCCGCAGGGCTTTGCGTACCAGGCCGGTCAGTACATCCTGCTGGGGTGGAAGGGTGAGTGGCATCCCTTCACATTGACATCAGCACCGGAGGAGAACTGCATCAGCGTCCACATTCGATCGCCCAACACCCTGGACTGGTGCTCTGCCCTTCGCAAGCGCCTCACGGAGGAAGCACCGGCCCAGGCACGGGGAGAGGCCAAAGCAGAGAAGCCGCCTAGGGCACCGCTTCTGATCGAGTACAACAAGTGCTGCTTGCCTAACAGCCACATCGTCTACAACGTGCCCAAAGTCTCCGGCGCCGCGAAGGAAGATGAGCTCCTTGTCACAGACCTGGACGCCCCGCATGACTCGAAGAATACTGAGGGCCCTCGCCTGCTCGGGCGAAACACCTCGGGAAAAATGGGTACAGCAGTTGCTCGCTCTGGCGAGACACTGGTCAGCAGCCCACCCAATGGCAGCCTTCCTCAGGAGGCTGTGGTGCTGCAGGTGACAGGGCCTTTCGGAGCACCGGCGCAGAAAGTGTGGGGTTTCGACACCCTGATGGTGGTCGGTGCCGGCATTGGTGTCACGCCCTTTGCTTCCATCTTGCGGTCGGTGCAACTTCGCTCCAAGCAGAGAGAGACGATCATGTCAGCCGCCACCCGGCCCTCGAATTGGCGGAACATGATGAGTGGCAACAACCCAAACGAGCTGGATCCTAAAGCAAGCCTACAGAAGCTCGTGGAAGATCTTGTCGTTGTGCCGAAGAAGATCTACTTCTACTGGATCTGCAGAGGGCAGGAGGAGTTCGATTGGTTTTGTGATCTCCTGGCAGCCGCCGCTGATGGTCCAGCAGCGGGCATCGTAGACATCACGCTCTTCATCACCGGTGAGGTCGAGCTGAGCCAGGTCAAGAAGCTTCCCTGCGCGTCGGGGCAGTTCCTTAGATCCCCAATACCTAACCTTTAAACTTTTTGGGTTCTTATAGTTTACTAGGAATCGGAAAAGTTTAGCCTTTTGTTTCCGTGGCCTTTTTTGGCGTAGTCAGGTTCTTTGGCCGACCCAATTGGGGCCGCATCTTCAAGCAGAATCGCGAAAAGCATCAAGGCGAGCTACATGTGTATATATATATATATACACACATATATATATATATATGTATGTATATATATATATATATATATACATATAGATATGATAGATAGATAGGTACATAGGTAATTAGGTAGGTATGTAATTGCTTAACAGCAGGCGAGCACGTCGGCGTGTTCCTCTGCGGTTCGCCGATCATTGGAGAGGAGCTGTCGAGGCAGAGCATTAAGAATTCCGACCTCATCGGCACCCCAGGAGGCACCCGTTTCTCCTTCTTCAAGGAGCACTTCTGAGTAACTTTGTCATAGTTGGGTAGCATTTTCCATTTTTATGGATACTTAAACCCAATAAGGAATCAAAAGGTATATTTTTTAATCCTGTCCCGACCATGACCTAGGTAAGGGGCCTTTTGCCTCCGAAGCTGCCGATGGTGATACGGTTCTGAAACCGTTTCTCGCAGGCTGGTTACTTCTAAGCCCATGCCTCTCGACTGCCCGCGCGCCCTGGCTTTGTACAGACCGGTCTCCGCTAAGGGGCAGCCACAGGTTTTGTTTAATCTCTGCGCACACGCATGTCCCTGCCTAGCTGTCAAGCCTGCACTGAAACCTTCTGCCGCTCAATATAGCAGAAGTCTTGAGTAATGCTTTGCCTGCGGATTCTCTATCTGCCGCACTAGAAGGATTCGGTGCTGGATGTGCCTGACAGTTGAAGTCGCAGATCCGCCTTCGGAGTGCAGCCGCTTGCGTGCTGCACCCTGGAGCCATAAAATTTTGCAATGCCGTGACTGCAGCTGACCTAGTGCTAGCACGAACCAAATATTTGTTCAAACAATGCCACAGATTGCGAAGATCCTCGCATGGCCCTGGCGTTCCGACGCCCTCGCCGTGCGAAGTCCTTTCGCTGCAGTTGCGAATTGCTCGCAGGTTCCGGGGCTTGAAAAGCCACAGTTCGTTGCCCATTCTCGGAGATCCGAGCGGGGCGGCGGATTTGCATCAAAGTCTCCAGGGGCTTTGCTTTACAGACCTTGGCGAGCTCTTGGCGGCTTTGTTCTGGGACCCAACTGTGTTACAACATCCTCAGGCTCCAAAACTCCGCAAGGCAAGATGTCTTCACCGAGTATGGACCATGATGGGTCAAAGAGACCACCGTGGGCTTACTTAGTAAACTCATGGCGGTTCATGGTTCGTGTCGAAGTCCCAGAAGGCTCAGCCAACACAACAACACCAGCGTTCAAGAGTCCACAATCTCTCGGCTGTCTTCGACTTCTATGCCAGCTATCCTGACTGTCCAGCCACGAGAAGCTAGACATCAGAGTTTCTCGCCACTCCTGCACATGCAGAAAAAGAACAGCGAAGCCTGCAACAATCCTGGCAGCACTTTTGAGCCTATTGGCCTTGGTTTGTGTGGGGTGAGCTTCGTATCCCTGAGCCCGAGGCGCTCAGTGCCTCCTGCACTTGGTCAACTCGTTGGTGTTTTTGGCGATGCTGTCGGCGGCAGCTCGGGTTCTAAAGATTTCCAGGGCTCTGAGTACACTGCTGTTGATTCATGTTGAGATTCGTGGCACCGTGCAGCATCTGTTTGATGGTGAGGCGTTTAGATTCACAATCCCCTACCACATCAAACTGTCATGTGCCAAGCGCGATCCGAGGCGTGGCATTGTAGCAGCTATGCGTCCAAGGGGTTGTTCGGCGCAAGGCCAGGAGCGCCTCGGACATGGTTGGATGCATTGTTTTCTTACAGCACGAATATACATACATACATATACATACATATTGGTGGTGAGCTCTATCACGTTTTTGCCCCGCCTCTTTAGACGGTTTTCCCCGGTGGATTTATGCCTTATTCTGGGTGGATTTATGCTTTATTCCGGGTGGATTTATTCCTTATTCTGGGTGGATTTATGCCTTATTCTGGGTGGATTTATGCCTTATTTATGCCTTATTCCTTGTAGATTTATGCCTTATTCCGCGTGGATTTATGCCTTATTCTGGCTGGATTTATGCCTTATTCTGGGAGGATTTATGCCTTATTCTGGGTGGATTAATGCCTTATTCCGGGTGGATTTATGCCTTATTCCGGGTGGATTTATGCTTTATTTTGGGCGGATTTATGCCTTATTCTGGGTCGATTTATGCCTTATTCCTTGTAGATTTATGCCTTATTCTGGGTGGATTATGCCTTATTCTGGGTGGATCTATGCCTTATTCCGGGTGGATTTATGCCTTATTCTGGGTGGATTTATGCCTTATTCCGGGTGGATTCATGCCTTATTCCGTGCCCGAAATAAGGCATAAATCAGAAAAGAATAAGGCATAAATAAGGGACACAAATAAGGCATAAATTAGGAAAGAATAAAGCGTAAAGACGCAAAAAATAAGACATAAATAAGGAAAGAACAAGGCATAAATAAGGGAAGAATAAGGCATAAATAATGAAAGAATAAGGCATAAATAAGGAAAGAATACGGCATAAATCAAGAAAGAACAAGGCATAAATATCTCATAAAGAAAACATGTTACAACATACCTCCAACATACATATACATACATATACATACATACACATACATACACATACATACACATACATACACATACATACATACATATATATATACATACATACAAACAAACAAACATACATACATACATACATACATACATACATACATACATACATACATACCTATATATACACATATATACATATACATATATATATATATATATGTATATATATATATATATATATATGTGTGTGTGTGTGAAAAGGGGTAATAATGATGTGGGTGGTTGTCAAAATTAGGTCCCCTTTCTGGGTCCGTAATATAATACGGCACCTAATATTTAGTGTACCCAAAAAGGGACCCTAATTGTGACAAACCCATGTATGTGTGTATGTGTGTGTGTGCGCGTATGTAGGTGTATTCGAAGATGCAGCACATGCATGGCTTGTGGTTGGTTAGCCGGTGTAGGCGATGTGGCGATGTCGAATCTTGAAAGATGAGAATGACAACAAGGGAGGAGGAGGAGCCGTTATCAGTACCTTTGTCCAGCAGTAAACGATCACTTCTTGGCACTGGTGTGGCATTGGCATACTCGGCACAGGCGTGGAGCTCGAAACCGCCACCCCTGTACAATCTACCGAAGCCCTTGATTTGTAACCTAAACCCTGAAACGTCAAAATGTTAGAGCCGAGTAAAACAAGACATCAAAGCAAGCATGAATACAGGAGAAAGCCCAAGAAAAAGATATCGAGGCGTTTCTCGGCCGAAGGGATCTCGGAGCGCAGGGAACTTCGAGCAACTTTTCTGCAAGTGCCCCCGACAATGCTTGAATGGTGATCGCGGTGATACCCTGATGCCGTCGTCCAGAAGCCAGGAGAAGTAGCAGGGAGTCATGATCATGGTCATGGTGATGATAGTGCTGGTACCGGCACTGGTGATGATGACCTCAGCAAGGTGAGGGGCAGTCAACGACATACCACAGCGCATTCCACAGTGGAAGCCGAAGCAGAGGAGGAGTAGCAGTAGCTGCAGCCTCGTTGACATTCGGCGTAATTGGTCACACCAGTACTCGTCAGTAGTCGTCGCTGCAGCAGCAGCAGCAGCAGGTGTAGCGAGAGGAGGAAGGATATAGGACAAGTAGAAAAAGAATGGAGTGAACGCCGCCACACTAAGAGCAACAGAGAACTGGTATAGAAGGCGATTGTTCATGGCAATGGCGTTACCAAGAGCAAGATGGAAAACTGCCTTGTTTAGAGGCCACGACAAGTTTAATGCCTCGGTTGTCTTCTTCGCCTTCGGCATCACGAGTGCTGTGACGTTCAGGGCGTTTCGCAGGACCGGCTGGCTGTCGCACCCTGGAGCCTGAATTCCAAAACCTCAATCCCAACTTACTTGAGGGCCTCGGCCCCAAAACACTTACCTTCGGTTAGTAGGGAATGGAGGAATGGGGTACAATTATAACTACTATTACTACTTCCCTACTAAGCAAAGGTAAGCCCCAAAACAACCCAAACTTAACTCTAGAAACACCAACACCCTTTCGGAGTGGCAGGATGGAGCAGGCGGCGCTGCCTGCGGTAGTTAGTGACGACCTCGGAGCTTACATTAAGGCAGAGGCAGGAACCGATGAAAAGTCTCATTTACGGTTCTTCAGGGGGCTAGGGTTTAGGCCTTTGTCGTAGTTTAGGTCCATGACGGTGATTGTTATTTTTGTTGATCCTCATGGCTAAGTATCCCTATTCGGCAGCTGTTGTGTTTCATTCGGCTTTCCAGCGCCGGGCAATGCGGTCTCAGCAAGGCTACTGGCCGACGTTGTGCGCAGGGCTGCATGAGTTCAGGAATCACGCACAGACTTCAGATGTACAACATCAATAAAGTATGTGTGTATGTGGGTGTATCTGTATATACATACCATTACAGTAGTAGTTGCACTAGTAGTAGTCGTCGTCGTAGTGGTAGTGGTGGTGCTGCTGCTGCTGGTGGTGGTAGCAGCAGCAACAATGATGCTAATCATTACTGACAAAGGATGTAATACATACGATTATGCACATATACATGTATGTTATTATATATATATATATATATATACGTACGTACTATTGTATTTTACTATGTATGTATATGATTAACCGAGTGTGGGAGGCAACCTGGGCGGCGACCGAGCTCAAGAATGCTCGATTGGCTGTCCTGTCCCTCGTCTGGCGAGTAGGCAGTGTGTCGGGTACTACAAGGGTTCCTTTGAGTGTTCCTGTGAAGAGTTCGAAGGGGTTCTACAGGGTCCTGCTCCGAGTTGCGAAGTTCCGAGCAGCAGGAATGTCGGCTGATCTTTGAAGCATCAATGCGGATCCGTAGATGCGCACGCCAAAACGCGAGCGAACTCGCAAAAAGGTTGGGTGAGCTTACACCATTTGGATCTAGAATAAAGCCAGCGTGCTGGCCATCTTGCGGAATGTCTGTCACTCTTGGGCGAGTTGAGAGAAGTGCTGGTATGGAAAGGCTACACTCTGTGCAGCTGTTGGTGGCGGTTTTCCTGCAAATTCCTCCCCAGATCGAGAACCCTCATGGCACTCTCGCTGTGCTTCCAAAAGGAAGAGGCTTGCATCGTTTGTCACTGGCCCGGGGAGCATCAGCAGCAGGATAGTCAGATAGTTCCAGTGCCGTCTGTACTTACCTATGTTGTACGTGTATAAGTGTGTATATGTTTAACTTACAACCGAAGTGCATACATGTATGCATGTATACAGAGCCCAGGGCCTTCAGCGAACGCCAGTCGTGTCTTTCACTTATTCCTGATGGGCTTCGGCCTGCGTCCAAATCCGTCCGGCAAGGTTAACATGCCACTCGTCCTCCGTTGCGGCCTTGATTTGCATCTCCCGCCCCTGGCTCCTGGTGCTCTGCTCCCTGGCAATTGGGGGGGTCTGAGATATTCTGAGATCAAGTGCTTACGCGAGACTTTAGTCTTTGTCTCTCCAGAGGCTCCGAGGACGACGACAGCTGTTATATCGCTTACCAGCTGGCCTCCCGGCTGACTTACGCGGGTTCGGCACAGCGCCAGTTTCTTCCGAAGCAAGCTGTGGCAATACACACCAACTGCGTCGTCCAGCTGACTAGTATCTACTATAGTGTATACTACCATAGCCTCTGTTATGCCATAGTATATACTGTCCAGCTGATGCTGCAGGTTGTGCCAGTGTTGGAACTTGGAGTCATGGCTGCAGCAGTTCGCGGTCACATGCTGCTTCCCAGATGACCCACATTGGGTTTGGGGTTTGGAGGTTTTGGGTTTGAAGTCGGGGTGGAAGGACACTGAGACGGCAACTGCACGTGTTTGTGGCACGAGGAGCTGTCATGGTGGAGATCATCTCTCTTTTCTCTTTGCTGGGCGTTTTCAGCTTGAAACCACCTGATATTCGGGTAGCACCTTTGCTGCAAGATGCCTTAGAAGCCGCCTTGTAGCACAAGGTCGAGCTGCTGTAGCGGGAAACAACCTTTACAGAGTGCCTGAGGCACCACAGCCAGGTCGCCGTGCAGGAGACGTGGGCAAGTGGGTTGCGGCTGACTAAGTGACAAAGTTTGGGGTCTGGACTATCAGGGCGAATGGCTGCTAGCTTCCTGGGTGCAGGAAGTGCGAGACTGACGACTCGTGTGGATACTCTCACCGAAGCATGGTGGGCCACTGCGCGGGAGCTGGCTTCAAGGTCGGGTGCTCGGAAACAGTGACATATTCAATTTTAGCCTGAGGTTGCTAGAAATACTGACGTAGTTGCCGGCGAGTAGTCATGAAACGCCCAAAAGTATGGGTCCAAAGCAGAACGAGGCATGACCGACTGAACAGATGCAGGTTGCCGAAAAACAGCAATAAGTAGAATAACCCCTAAACCCTAAACCCTAATTAATTCGATTCTATTCGATCAGGAGCGTGTCCCTGGAGCAGCTTCTCCGTTTCTGGGGCGAGCTCGGCAGTGAAGGCAGCCATGGTACGAAGCTTCCTCCTAAAGGATCATGAGACTTAGTAACAAGGGCTATAATGAGGGTAACTCTACTTATAACTACGTGGGTACTTGTATAACCCCAATTAAGGTACTTACAACCTTACTTACTAAGTCCCATGATCCTCCAAGCGTGTTTCAGTGTTCTGCGCGAAAGTGCCTTCAGGACTCATGCCGCACTACGACACGGCTGCTCAGTTGCCAGAATGATGCCGATGCAGGGATGTTCTCGTTGCCAGGCTAGGCAGACATTGACCACTCATGGAGCATTCAATGATTTGAACGCGTGACCTTGTCTAGAATTTACAGACTCTGTGCAATGTGTATCGTGCGCACACACACATAGAGACATCGGCCAAAACAAAATCACTCCCGCACGTGCTCGCCGCGGAATGTTTGTGAACTCGTGTCCGGGCTCTTTGCTTGGCCAAGCAAGACTGAGGAGCGTTCGACTACCAACGATGTGGTTCGACAGGCCACAGGGGATCCGAACCGCTTTCAGTCGCAACTGCAATGCCCATGGCTACTTAAAGGATCATGGGACTTAGTAACTAGGGTTATAATTAGAGTAACTCTACTTCTAACTACCTATAACCCCAATTAAGGTACTTATAGCCTTATACTTACTAAGTCCCATGATCCTCCAAGTACCATCGTTGAAGCATCGTTATGTTTCGTCTCGCGGAGGCTATCATTCCCAAGTCGCGCAGACCCAATGGTGGTGGAGACTGCTTGGCGAAGGCTTGAGCATCGCACAAGTTGCGATCGCGTCCTCTGTAATTTTGATCAGACCGCATGGCTGTCATTTCTTGCTGTGCCGCCTTGTCCCCGTAACGAAGATGTTGTGGTCACTCCTGTTCTTCTGCACGCTCGCAATATCTCGCAGTCTTGTGCGACTGATGCCGGGTGCGTCCTCTGTTGCTGGCTGCACCACCCTGCAGACTTGCAGTGCAGAGTCTGAGCTGTCTTTCGGCAGGTGTTCCAGGAAGGCGGCGAAGTGATCCCTCCAAAAGCGATGGCTGCCTGCCTGAAAGCTTCTGTTCACAGAGGAGTCTGCCTGATTTGTCGAATCCCTCGCAGTCAAGCTATGGACGGCTCATTCGACTGCCGTTTGTCTCGAGAAACTAGCTATGAGGTACTTGTTAAAGCATCCGTTCACCGCCGCACGAAGGTGACGCATTCTTGGCGCAACAACTTCAGAGACTTAGTGAGAGCCTTACTGGGAGCCGCATAGCATAGCATTCCATGTCATGTTGAATGAGTGGTTTTCGAGTATATAGACGAAAGAAGGTTTACTCTCAATGCGCAGCTCAGGTAGCTGCAATCATAGCCGATGCGGGCAAGAAGGACATGCACTGCCCAACCGCAGGGACACACAGAAAGGGTGAATTGCAGCTTGGTACAGCACCTGCCCGATGCAGACATCGACCCTTTTGTCGAGGTTTTGCCTGCTCATGTCGCATGCCGGACTGTGGAAAGCGAGGAACAGGTCTTTCAACAACTCCCTGCGACAGCTTCTTGTGTTGTCACTGAATTTCGTGGTTTAAACTTCGCCGGAAGGACGAGTACTGGCGCATTGCGGCCAAGCTCCAAGGCAGCCCCGTGGATGCTGCCAGGCAAGTGGATAAACTCCTGTGGAAGCTGCATGGAAACGAGCATCGCTACTGGACGCCTGGCGGCTTTTCGTCGAGCCGATGCCGTCAGCAGCATGAGCTTGCAACTGTGCAGACGAACCAAGGATTTGCGCCTTCTGTGTCAACCAACATGCCAGCATTTGTGGTGGCTATGCAGATCCCCCATCCATTTCAGATGCCAGCGCATACAAGAGGTGCGTGACCTTTGTACTGCCAGATGTGAGCCGTTCCACACTCGTCAATTTGAGTCAACCATGCAACCCTGTAGGCGAAGAGTCTCAGTCCAAGTTTGGCATGCTTTCTCTGCAAGTACATAAGCATGAACCTTTGGCCGGGCGGGTCTGACCCGCCCCGTAGACCTGTAAGTAGAAGAAGCACAACAGAGAAAGCGACAGAGCAAGTCTGGCACCGACGGGGGTGCGAAGGACCTTCGTGTGGCACGTGAGCGCAGGGTTTGCGGCCTCCCCCCCAATCATACACGCGTGTTGGAAGGACGGAAGGAAGGATTTATGAGACCCGCAGCCCACAGCAGTTGGGGATGCACTTGCACGGAGCGGGCGCCCCTCAGAACAAAAGGAAAGAAAGAGTTCTGCGGGAGCTGCAGGCAGTCAGAGGCCCCCGAAAGGGGACGAGGAGCTGGGGATAGGACATGGGTGGTTGTCAAAATGAGGGTCCCTGTTTGGGGTACCCTAAATACATCGGGAGGACAAAAGTTTTGACCTACTGGATCTGTCTTGTCTTAAGACGTCTTGCGGAATAGCGGAGTACCGAAAAGTGCGATTTACGTGGCCTGGCCAGCGGAGTATTTTATACCCCGTTCTGAAATTATACTACTTTAATGTTCCGGAGGAGTAGCCGGTTGGTCCTGCTTGTTAGGATTCTATGGGGGAATGGGGGCCTGTGTTCGACGAAACAAGGAGTAGGTCAAACTTTCGTCCCACCGCAGCGTCAATTTTGGGTGCCAGAGTCCAGCCCAAGCAACCCCAGGGTGAAAGTGCTCGGCTTTGCTTTCACCAAGACTGCAAAGGAGGGGACTCTTGCCTCGAAAATGGAGGCTGCCTTCTGAATCGTTTCTTCGACGGGGATGTCTGTCTAGGGGACCCTGCAGGAGGTCGTTGGGTCACACAGCAACAACTTTGGCGAGGTTTGTTGAACAGAAAGGTCGCGGTGAGGCATCGGGAGGACAAAAGTTTTGACCTACTGGATCTGTCTTGTCTTAAGACGTCTTGCGGAGTAGCGGAGTACCGAAAAGTGCGATTTACGTGGCCTGGCCAGCGGAGTATTTTATACCCCGTTTTAAAATTATACTACTTTAATGTTCCGGAGGAGTAGCCGGTTGGTCCTGCTTGTTAGGATTCTATGGGGGAATGGGGGCCTGTGTTCGACGAAACAAGGAGTAGGTCAAACTTTCGTCCTACCGCAGCGTCAATTTTGGGTGCCAGAGTCCAGCCCAAGCAAACCCAGGGTGAAAGTGTTCGGCTTTGCTTTCACCAAGACTGCAAAGGAGGGGACTCTTGCCTCGAAAATGGAGGCTGCGCCGGGCCGATAGTTCGACCCACTAGCTTCAACATGCTTTACAACACATGGGCCTCCAGCCTCTTCCCCATAGACTCCTAACACAAGTGAGCCTTGGGGCCTCCGCCGGAACTAAAAAGTATTATATTTTTAAAACGGCGTAGTAATTACTCCGCTGGCCAGCGTAGGGTAAACGGCACTTTGAGGTACTCCGCTACTCCGCAAGAGCTTGTATGTAAGATGATGCACAAGTGGGTCGAAACTTTCGGCCCGGCGATGCCTTCTGAATCGTTTCTTCGACGGGGATGTCTGTCTAGGGGACCCTGCAGGAGGTCGTTGGGTCACGCAGCAACAACTTTGGCGAGGTTTGCTGAACAGAAAGGTCGCGGTGAGGCATCGGGAGGACAAAAGTTTTGACCTACTGGATCTGTCTTGTCTTAAGACGTCTTGCGGAGTAGCGGAGTACCGAAAAGTGCGATTTACGTGGCCTGGCCAGCGGAGTATTTTATACCCCGTTCTGAAATTATACTACTTTAATGTTCCGGAGGAGTAGCCGGTTGGTCCTGCTTGTTAGGATTCTATGGGGGAATGGGGGCCTGTGTTCGACGAAACAAGGAGCAGGTCAAACTTTCGTCCCACCGCAGTATTAGGTGCCGCATTATAATAAGGACCCAAAAGGGACCCTCATATTGACAATCACCCGCATGGTGGTGCCAGTGTGGCACTCAGTCCGGTGCGCCTGCGCAAAGAAGGAAACAAAGCGAGCTTCGAGCATGGAAAAACCCTCGGCCCGTCAGCTTGTAGCAAACCCGTCAAGAAACATTGTAAAGACTATCATGATGTACTTTCCTGTTAGTATCAGTATTAGTCTTAGATCCTACTAAACCCCTAAACCCTAAACCCCCCCGTGACTTCGCGAGGTGGTGGGAATCTCGTTACGATACCGTGACGGAGCAGCCTTTGCCGATCTGCAGCTGCAGCCAGCCCAAGCTCTTCAGCAACAAGGCTGGTCGGGGGCCATATTAAAGCCTTATTGCAGCCTTTATTAGGGGCTTTTTAGAAGCTTAGTAAGGCCTTATTAGGCCCTTATTAAAGCTTGGAATTTTGGGTTTAGGGTTGCAAATGGGAGTTTCCGATAATAAGGGGTGCCTTAGTGTGGGGTCCTTATATTGAGGATCCTACTAATTTAGGGTACTGAATTGGGGTCCCCTATTTCCGGAAGCTCGCATATGGGTTCAGGGTTCAGGGTTGTGGGAGTGTTCAAGATAGTTCTGCAGTGCATAGGCAGGGGGCCTCTCGTCTTCGGCAGTTTGGGGGATGCTTCCTGATGTTTCGGAAGATTCCAGCTGAAGCTGGGTTGTGCTTTGGGATAATTTTTAGTTTCCCTTATTTCCTTGTTGTAAAGGGAACCTATTCAAAGATAAATTTCAAATAGTTTAAAACACAACTCAGGAAGCACATCTGAAGGCAGCATATCATGGTTATCTCATGTTATCTCGCAACAAATGCAGTCACAAGCATCATTCATCGTTTCAGGATTCAGCCCGGTGCGAGCTCAACAAGTTTGCCAGCTGCAAAAAGAGCTACTCCAGGCTAAAAAGCTTCTGATTTGTTCGCCTGCCTGCAGGTCCACAACTTTAAAAGCCTTTGCCGTCGTGTTGCCTGTGACCAGAGTCCGCACTTTCCCAGGTTTGATGACATGATGACGGTCCTTCATGATTCTCGGCATTGACTAACGGTGACTAATGTGTTCTGTCACATGCGGGCCATCGCTCGGTATGCTGAACGCAACACGGCCATCAATGTCTCAAAGCATTTGCCCCGGTCAGGATACGGTGCTCGGCTTTCGGCAAGTTGTGGCCGTGGACCGTCAACTTGATGTCTTCAATCGACCCTCAGCTTTAGAAGAACGCCCTTCCCCCAACAAAAACCAAGCCCCGCCTTTCGGAAAGCCAGCGTTGAGGCGCCTGGTGCGTCGCAGAACTCGTCGAGGCGAGGAGACGCTACGTAAGTTGCAAACTTGAGCATGTAATTAGAATAGGGTTCTTTAAAAGGGTCTTTGAAGGTTACTATAAGATAAGGGATCTACAGGGGTACACAAGGGTACTAATTACACGACGTCTTGGTGTCGTTGCGCGTCTCACCGTCCTGGCAGCAACCGTGATAGTATTGATGCGTATACTTATGCACAAATGTAATGTACGTTTGCTTGTACATATGTTATGCCTGGTCATACTCATGTTTGCTTTATGCATCTTATGTATGTATGTGTGTATATGTGTATGTGCAGGTGCGTCTATGTGCATGTGTGTGTAAGTACGCATGGACGTATGCATGTATCTACGTATGTATGTAGTAGGTAGCTTTGTTGGTTGGTCGGCACCTTTTGTGCACATCATGACGGTATGAGTGTCATGGCACATATACAGAGAGATCTGTGAGGGTGGCCAGATACAACCGAGCATCCGGCGAGGCGAGCCGATTGGACATGCAGCAGGTCATCCAGGCAGGGCGCGTAACCGCACGATCGTAAAGTGGTGTGGATTGTATGCAAGAGCATACAGTTATGTACGAAGTAGTATGGTACACTGCAATGCACGTGCTTTGCCCATCAGAAGTTGTCGATACAAAAAGGGACTTAGCATATACCTTCAATGCGGATGGTGCCGTTCATCGTTCGAGGTGCACAGCACATCAGAGCTTGATATCTACTCCGCGCCTTGGCCGTCGACATACCGCTCACATCCCAAGCAGCATGTCGCAGGGAGCATGAAGACTCATACAAATGCTACGATTTTCAGACTGTACCAGTCAGCAAGGGCGACACGGAAGCCTATGCCACCCTGGCGACGCTCTCCGTGCAGGATTGTTGTGCCTCCAGGCAATGGAAAGCAAGCCCGCCTGCCATCAGCAGTATTTTGGTCAACATGTTTCCACGTTCTGAGTGTGTGGCATGAAATGTGCTCCCGTCGGATTTCAGAGCAGTGGAGACAAACTGCAGTAATTTTTGGCTATATCACGAGCGAAGGCCAGAAGACAAGGAGGATATCTTGGCAAGGATTGGACACTTGGCCTCAGAGTTCCATGGGCCGATCAAACTGCTGTCCTTGCATGAACCACTTGGATTGACAGACTTCAGATTGACCCAACAGAATGCCGTCATCTTTGGGCATCAAGCAGACATGCTGCGTAGCACTAGGTGACACGGAGGAGTTCGATGCCAAGTTGCACACTGCGACGCGGCTGAGTGTGTCGATTTCGTTGGACTCGACAGACACGAGTGACAACGCGTGCCAGATCATGTCGCATTTAGCAGAATCTATTGGTGCAATAGGTTGGCCCGCAGCATTTCGCAAAGAATACAACAGTGAAACAGAGCTTGCATGCTCAGCATGCTAGAATAGTGTCGGAGCTGCTTATGCAAGGGATTAACCTTCGTAGCTGCAGGAAAGTTGCACTCGAATTGTGAGGCGGTGGGCGGGAAAATTCCTTTACAACGAGTTTAATGCTGTCTGCGCCTCTAGACAGGATTTGCTGGGGTTGCAAAGTACTGCTAAGTTGTGTTCTTAAGTTATCTTAAGTTGTTCGTGAAGTGCGAAGTTAATGTACCGGTTGAAGGGAAAGTCTAATATATTAAGGACTCTGCACAGAATCCTGATTTTCAAAAGCTTTGAACGTGATTTCCTTAGTTGCCGATGGCTCTACTATGGCCATGCACTGTTCACAACCCCGTCTATTCTGATACGACGCTTTGTGAATATGCGAAAAAGTGTCCTCGCCGGCACCCTTCAGAATTAAGCAAGTCGTGAGGTATCCGGTTACTATTCTTACTGGCGGTGCGAGCCTTTGTGCGAGAGCAGCCTACCCCAAACCTGAAAGCCAATCCAACCCGGGTCTTGATTTGAAGAGTTATTTGCGGGGCCCTTAGACTCGGTCAACCTTAGACTGTTAAACCCCTAAACCGCCTAAACCCCGAACCCGACTTTAGGTGATCTTCGGACAGCATGGCCTCCTCGGTCGCCGTTTTCACGGCTTCGGGGCTCTGGATGCGGCGGCGCGCACTGCGCGCAGGGCCATGGCCCCGGGTCTCTTCCGTGTAGGATGCTGGGACATTGTAGGACTTTTGCGGGTTTGGCATTGGTTCGTAGCATACGAGCTCAAGCACCACGAGGTTAGCGCTCTTCGGCACAATCTCGGAAACCCTAAACCCTAAACACAAACCCTAAACCCTAAACCCAAACCCTAAACCCTAAACCCAAGGGGCTTTAAAAAAAAACAAACCTCAACCCAAAGACACCTTTAATGCCCAGGTCAATGAAGTCTTGGAGTTGAGAAGGCCAGCGAGAGCCGGAATTTCCCCTCTTCATTTGATTGACCTTGGCTGTCCATCGAGCTCGGTTCCACTGCGGTGCTGCAAGAGTAGATAGTAGATAGCCCTCGCTACGAAGGCTTTCGACTCAGAGCTTTCCCCCTTCAACGTTTTATTGTCTAGGATCCTCTGCCCTTTGTTTTCTTGCCTGTGCAGCCACTGGCAGGAAGGCCGACTCAAGCACGGAATGAAGATCACAAAGATCGTCTCTTCATCCGCAAAGATCGCCGGAGTTGCCCACGCTGGACAGCTTTTGCACAGCAGGTTGTACGTTGGTATTATGCTGTAGCCCAGGCCTAGCAGGCCTCAGTTAATGCATGGGCGATGTTGCCAAACTCTCGGCAGCCCTTCGCCTCGCGAATGCAATTTGAACTGCATTTGGGCAAAGACCCCACCCCGATAGCAGCCGATAGCAATTGCGGCATGGATCCAGCTTGTACAGCATTTCCAGGCTACATTGATCCAGCGGCAGAAGAAGAGGATTAGACAGCAGTGCGCCAACACACGCACAAAGACTAGCATCTCCGAAGAAAAGGCGCTGGCCGGGTCTTCTTGGTGTGGACTAGCATCAGTGTTGACACCAGCAGCAATGGCAGCAGCACCAATTATCAAAGTGATACTTCAAGCACCTGTCATCCTTACCGTAAGCTTATAGTGGACCTTGCACTTACCAGTTTTTGCTTACCTTATGGCAACCTTTCAGTCAGCCTAGTCAAGCCTTGAGAAGCTCGCCTCGCTGTGGTAGACTATGCTGCGCAGGCTCGCAAGGCAGTCGCGACAGAAAGCAACTTGGCAGACTTTGTAAGTTGCATCGCACTGGGCCCCTCTATGCTGATAGAATATACCATGATGAAATCAAACACGGCATCCCATGAATGTTGACATGATGGTGACGGATAGTGGCATGTGCGTATATATATATATATATATATATACTTGTGTAGATGTATACATAGTACATACTGCATCTCCTGTCATGAAACGATATGTCTCGTCTACCAGTTTATATTATCTCATATCATGTGTTTCTGGTATGTACATATGTGTGTGCGTGCATTATCTGCGTATATACAGGTATTCATACACTTATGTATGCATATATGTTCATAAAACATTGTCAGTCTCAGCAGTTCCAAGTCTAGAGAAACCCTTATGATTTCCAGGATTAGGAGGAAATGTGGAATAAATAGGACTTAAGGGTGTATAGGAAATAGGAAAGAAGTAGGAAAAATAGCAAAGGATTCGAGAAAAATAGGAATAAAATGGGCGAGAAATAGTAAATGTAGGAGAGAAGTATAACATGTAGGAAAAAACTTAGGAAAATCACACAAGGCTCCTATTTTATTTGTATTTCCGAAACAAACCAGGATGTCCATTTTCTTCCTGGTTAAATCCTATTTTGAGCCACTTGCGATCTGACTTGACTAGAGTTAGCACCACAGGTTGACATAAGTATAGTTGCGTGTAGCATATATGTTTACGTTTGGGTATCTATACAAACACATGTATGTGCATGTACGTATGGTCTGTCTGCCTGGCTGTTTGTACACACGTTCGTAGGTAATTAGGTAGGCAGGCAGGTAGGTTCATGTGATTGCGTGTTTGCTCGCTTGCCGGCTTGCCTGCTGGCTTACGTGCTTACTTACTTATATGTGGAGGTAATTTGCGTGCATGTGTGTGTGTGTGTGTGTATGTACATGTATGTACATGAATACTCAGCATATGTATGCGTCTGCATCTGTATATCTATATATATATATATATATATATATATATATATATGTGTGTGTGTGTGTGTGTGTGTGCGTGCTTATATATACATACATACATATATACATATGTATATATGTGCCTGCTCGCTTGGTCGTGCGTAGAGCTTGGTTCACGGTTGCGCAGCAAGGCCACCAAGTGACTCGGAGGACTCTCAGGCCAGTTGGGTCAGCCCTGAGATTTCGGTGTGAATAATTAGAATAGGGGTTGCTTGAAAAGGGGTCTACAAGGGTTGGGGTTACTCTCAGCAACCTTTAACGGTCGGTACGATAGGGGCCTTAATGATTGGAATAGGAGTCCGCAGCATCTGATTTCGACAAGCGAACTGAGTGCGTGCTGGAGGAAGCCGTAACTGGACTCGACTTTCTGGATCTGTGCTACTTCGGTGAGTGAAGCGAAAGCCTGCCTATGACTCGCGCGCAATTGCTCAAGCATCTCGCGGCTTGCGTGTCTCACTGTTGCACCGGAATGGCGACCTACATACAGTCAGTTTTGTCACCATCAAGGTCTGCCCACACAAGCTGATCGCTGCAACAGCATGAAAGCTCCATCAGCAACGACTTCAGCCCTACACGCCTTACTACCCACAACCTCCTGCCGCCGTGGAATGGCAGATGTGATACTGGGAGAGCGTTCGCGTGCTGTCACAGTTGGGCGCTCGCACTTTGCCACTGCCGACGACGAAGAGTCGCTTGTTTCAAGGAGGGATGTTGTTTGAATTGCCTGCCATACCACTGCTTTAGCCCAGAGGCCATGGCATGACGTTGAAGCACAATTTCTTGATGTAGGAGGTTCAGCAACTCGGGGAACCCCACACAGAGCCTAAACAGCAAGAGCCTTGATGAGCACCCAGAATGAAAAAGCACTGATTCGCAGAACCACTCCCCCCCGAGCAACCGAAAGGAAATTCCTTCTGTGACACCTTCCATCATCCCACACATATATATACAGAAACACGCACCCACGCACGCACGCACGCACACACGCACACACACACACACACACACACACACACACACACACGTCTGAAGCTTTAAGTTACAGATCCCTAAAGAAACCCCTTCAAATTTCGTTTAAGCCCATAGAACACTGTAATTAAGAAGAAGCCTCCGCCACATCAGTTGCCAGGTTAGGGAGGCAAGTCGAGGAGTGGCAGGCTGCTCCAAGCGCTGCTCGGCCGGCAGGGTTCTGTCCCTATATGTGTATATTGTACATAATACATGTATGTGTGTGTATGTGTATATATATATACGTATATATATATATATATATATAGAGAGAGAGAGAGGGGTTTTGTGGATTTGTTTGTATAGCGGCTTTGCATTTTGTTTGATAAGGTTGTTTGTCGGGCTCTTTACAAAGATCCTCGTTATTTTGGTGAGCTTCGGGTTTTTGCACCCCCCCCCCCCCCCGGCCCCACTAGGGCCCCTTAAAGTCAGGATACTAGTGTTTCAGGTTCCATACGCGAGTTCCCCAATTTTCTACGTTAGTCTGCTCCGCATGTTTTGAAGCCCAGAAAGTCTTCCCGACCTCGCAGGCTGGAAAGGCCAGCATGCTAAAGAGAGGGTCGACAAAGCCATGCGACCTGGATACCTATGAGCTCGACTGGGATGACCTGGGGAATCCTGGCTTCTTCAGGCTCTTCCTTTCATGATGAAAGGAAGGGGCCAGGAGTCCATCAGGGGTCCATCAAGATCTGTACCCCTAAACTCTAAGCATCTCTAAGCTCTATACCCTATACCTATGCGGACTCGAAGAGGCCCTTTAAGAAAAAAAAAGAACTCTACCTACCGCAAACCTTAAGCCCTAAGGATGCAGCTCCCTTCCATGCCGCAGAAAGCTCCGCCCTCTGCTCCTGAGCCCGCCCCGGCTCCTGCGAGCGCTCCCAGGCCGGAGGCCACGCAGGTGGGGAGTCGAAAAGAATTATGCTACATAGATAGATAGATAGATAGATATATTTTTTATTTGTATTTATTTACATGTATTGGTTTCTGTACTTATTTATTTGTTTATGTATATGTTTTCGACCGAACATACCCCTCAGGCACATCCCACCGAGGAGTGGACCCTTGCTGCGAGCTTAGATATAGTTGCGAGCACCGCCGTTTGTGAGCCCTTCCTTAGCCGAAGTAATGCACCCTAAACCACTTGCACGGAAAACCAAGAATCGGACTGACCTGCGTCTGACCTAAGGCGCGGTTGGAAAGAAAGGTCATGGAGGAGGCAATCGTCTGCATAGCTAGAAATCCGTGCACGGTGCAGATTTGCAAAAGATTTCTCGACTTCACTGCTGTTCATGAATATGACAGCCTCGATGCCAGGAGTCCTTCGAAAAGCGCCGTAAAAGCTCGTCGGCAATGCGGGCACTTGTGCCTCGGCAATCTCTTTGTGACTGCAGAGGCTTTTTGATAGCTGGTCGGCTTTAGCGTAAGCCAGCTGAGGAGGAGTGCTACGAGGACGCAGCATGGGACAGCTTTGACGTGTCCGAGACCAATGAGGCCGCGAAGCACAAAGCCTGAGTCACGCATGCCACGAGCGACTGGGACCGGGACAACTTGGGGTTTTCTTTGGTTTCCTGTCATGGCAGGTGGCTCCAGCACAACCGGCGCCCATGGGTGTGCAGGCAAAGCTCTCAGCTTTGACTGATTGGATCACCAAAGTTAGCGCCAGAAGTGTACACATGGCCATGTCCTGCACCCAAGGTCCCACAGGAGCTGCGCAGACCCGAAGAGCAGCCCAAGCTGCCAAGTCCCGAGCGGTTGTTCCACGTGCGCTCATGTGTGTCCAGCACTGCCACCGCCGTTGCTCCGAAACTGCAAAAGCTTGTAAACCTGACATACGCAGATACATTGAACTGAATATCGTTGATATGCCGATACCTGAACCTTAAACCTGCGTTTTCCAAAATATGCTTGGCCGAACCCACAAGCCCCGAGCCCTACGTATTCCTAAGATATAGCCCGTAAGATCCACATTACTACTACACCAGCACCCTCCTGAAATCATCTGAAATCTAGACCCATCTAAGCCCTAAAACCACTGCTGAGGGGCGACTCCAGACCAAGAGCTAGAGAGGCGCCACCGCGAGGACGACCACGGGGACGTTTTCGGGTTCGTCGTTTATGATGGGTTATGTGTGTTTTTGTGCTTGTAGGCTTCAGGGTGACATCGCTAGGGCTCTGGTTGCCTTGCAATTCTTCGCAATGGTTTGGAGCACCACAAGCCGTAGCTCAAAGTCTTCAGGACTCCTCTGGAACTCCGGCAATACTGTGCAATAAGATGGTATGTCCGATATCCCAGCACAGCAATAGCGCCCCAGCGCCACCATCCCTGAGGTTTTGACACCCTGAAACCCGAGACGTTGTACCGTCTGCTGAGGACCGGCGCCGGCGATGCGTCCGGGGCAGGCTCCGGGACCTCTGGCTTCGGGGCCGCAGCGCAGAGTCCAGTGCCCAGCGCCGGGTGTGCCCGGAGGCCTTGCAAAGGCCTCAGCCAAGACGCCAGGCCCGGGCCCACCTCCAGCAGTCAAGCACCAAAGCATGCAGCACCCTGGAGCTGGACCAGCGGCCAGAATGCCAGCTCCGACGAAGTACCAGGCGATGCCAGCGCCGAACCCGGCACCCAAGGTGCCAGGTGCTAAGCCTTTCCCTGGTGCTCCGCTCACGAAGGCTCCGGGGCAGCCTATGATGAGACCACAGGCTCCGGGGCAGCCTCGGTTTGCCGCGGTTCAGCGACAGCTCGTAGCTCCATCGCAGATGCCCGCATTGGGGGCAATGAGGGCTGGGACCGGTCCGACTCATAACCCGGTGCCAGCACACCCACACGAAGCCCAGCCACAGCTTTCAACTCCGCAGCCAGAGGTCAGGCTCGTACCACAAGCAACGCCACACTCCCAGACGCAACAAGTGCATGGACAGCAGGTAGACGTAATGCTCATGCCGCAAGCAGCGCTGCAGCAGCATGAGCCCCAGCAAGTGCCAGCTGGACCTGGGCCGCAGGATGTCAGGCTCGTCCCACAGCCACAGCCGAACCATGCTCAACCGCAAGCGGCTCTTCAGCCACAAGAGCCCGTACCAAGAAATCTGCCATCCGAGCAGGCGGAGGTCAGGCTTGTACAGCCAGCGGTGCAGCAGGTGCCAACTGGGCAGCAGCCAGAGTTCAGACTCATGCCGCAGCCAGCACAGCCCCAGGAGGCCCAGCCAAAGATGCCCGGTCAGGCGGAGGTCAGGCTCCTTCCCCAATCGCAAGCCTCTCGGTTGCCGCAAGACTCGAGCCAGGCCAGGAGTTCTCCAAAGGAAGTCGGAACGACTTTTCAGTACCCGAGTAGTTGCAAGCAGGTTCACTATGCCGTGCTTGGACACCGACTGCGTAACCCTGATCCCCAAGCCCCGGATGGCCCTAAAGTCTGCAGCCTCCAAAAACTTCCCTAAACCCTAAACCCCTAAGCTTACTCAAGCTGGCTCTACCTACTAGGTATTCCGACTGGTAGCAGGGAGGAAAAGGGCCCTCAAAAAAAAAAAAAACTTACTCAAATGCTCCGAAAAAATTTCGGAGGCCACGATTCTCTACCCCTCACCGGCCTCCGGTTTCAGGCCGGAGACCCAGAGGCCGCAGGGCTCGGATTTTTGCACCTGGGATCCTCCTCTTAGGGCCCTTGAAACGGGAATGTGGGAGTTTCCGCAAAGAAGGGGGGGGTCCCTTACATTTTGGGATCCTCAAAATAAGGATCCTACTATTTAGGGTGTTATTAGATCACGGTCCCGTGTTTTCGATTCGTAGCAAGTATACAACTCTTGGGCATCATCGACTGCTCCTACTATATACTATTGCTTGTTAAACCTATGTCACACATCCGATAGCATCAGTTTTATGCTATGTATACATCTACTCTGCATGTAGGTAAATGTATGCATGTATGATCATGTATGCTTGTTCACTTCAAGATTATTCGCATTCTGGAACTGGTCCACAGCCGGTTCAATTTCACTGATACCCTCAGAAGAGCCAGCTCAGTCGAGTTTGCCAGAAACCCTAAGCCTTAAGCCGTAAACCAGCCTAAACCCTAAAGCGCGAAGCCAACTTCACCGGCTCCTCCTGATAAGGAATTCTAGCTGTATTTGCGGTCCATTATTCTTATTATTACTATTATTACTGCTATTACAACTATTATGGAAAAGAGCCCTCAAACAGAAACAAGATCCCAACTTCGCCGATTTTGCAGGCAGATTGCGGCCGCTCCGGCGGCTTTGGGGCAGTCGAGCCTGGAAGCTCCGAGCGAGTCCGAAAAGCCCGCGGCCTGAAGCCAGGGTTTAAGGTTGAGGGTTTAGGGGTTTAAAGTTTAGGGGTTTAAAGTTTAGGGGCTTAGAGGTTTAAAGTTTCGGGTTTGGGGTTTGGGGGCTCAGGGCTTGCGGTTTGGGGTTTAGGGTTTGGGGGTTAAGGGTTTAGGGACAGCTGGGACCCCAAGTGAACCCCTGAACCCTGCCCCCGTCACACTGAATCTCGAGGCTCGGTATAGGGTGTCAGGTTTCGAATGAACACTGAACCTGCAAAGCCAGATCGCTAGGCCCTACCATCCAAGGCAAGGGCTACAGGCAGCGGAGATGTCCGACGGGACACCAGCAGCTTGACTTGCGTTGGTCTTGTTGTCGCGTTTAAGGTGGTAGAGGCTGTGGGGCTGTGCTGCGTGAGAGCTTATGACTTGAAGGCATTGCATCTTGATGGCATCTGCGTGCAGAGCGCAGAGTGTTGTGCGCTGCTTAAGGTTGCCCCAGCAGCACAAGTGGTCATGGGAGGAAGCTGTGCTACCAGCGTTGCCAGCGCGAATGGCTCAAGGGGGCCAGATCGAATGCTGAACAAGCTCCCATGGCAGCACCAATGGGAACGTCCGAATTTTCAGAGCAACAGTTAGCATGTTGCAGACCGACTTGTTGAGATTTGTCGTGGTTTGAAAGTCCTGCGTGCAAAAGCTTTCCCAACTCTTCAGCCTCTCGTCCTCTTGGGCAATTCAGGCTGTTGGCACAGCCCTGTTCGACACGACTGCAGCGAACAGGCCTGAGCCGAGTGCTTTCGCCGTGCTTAGCGGCTCCGTGTGCCTGCCTTGCAGGTTACGTCTCGCCGCTTCCTCCAGGGCCTCAGGTGCAGCTCGTTCTTAATTAGTTTTGTAGACGGGCACCACGCAAGGGGATGCATGTAATACTCAAGAGCCTCCTCTTGCGAGCTCTTGAAAAAGGACGCAGATGCAAGACTTTCTGTAACGTATCTCTAGACTATAATTTTTCTATTATTGTTTTTATTATTACTATTGTTATTATTGCACACCGCACCTGATACAGTACCGCATGATAATAAACTGCTCACTGCAGCACATCACAACACAGACTGGGATCTAAGGACCCTGGCACATCCAACGTATGCTGAAGCCACGCCAGGCCCTGAGATGTCAGCAAAATGTGCAGCACAGTATACTTTATAGTCTGCATACTGTAACAAGGAACCTACTACTACTACTACTACTACTACTACTACTACTACTACTACTACTACTACGACAGACCATTAACCACAGTGTAGCATAGCAGCTGATATGGTAGAATTCCAAGATAGATGATCTGCGGCCTGCAGCGTTTCTTTTGGGCCCCTCAAACCCCTTTAGTGACTGTCGGGGTGAGCGCAAGATAAACAAGCAACTGAGGCATGTGGTGGCTGCTCCACCAGATGCAGGCATGCACCGTGTCATCAGTGCTGCGGTCTTGTAGGATGAGAGCTTGAGAGAGTACAAGCTTGGGGTGTGGTTGATCAGATTTGGCCTCATTCTTGTGGCTGCGTGTAGCAGCCATGATTTAGCTGTTGACTTAAACTGCATTTTGCACTGTTTTAATTGATGCCCATCATGTGGCAGCATCTGTCAAGACTGCGTGGCAGGCAACCTGCCAGAATCCGTCGCCTTGCCCATGCAGTTTGAGGCAGGGGCCACAGGTTTCGGCGGAAGTGCTCGAGACTGATGGGCGAGATCTCGTTTTTGATCCTTACTTCGATTGAGGGTTCTGCCATGTCCGCAGGCTGTGGAGGAGTACCCGGGCTTCCAGGTGCCTATGGCACCGAGGGCTGCGCAGGCTCCCATGTGTGGCCAGGCGCCTACAAGTACCATCCAAAGTGAGGTCAGAGGGCCACAGCCGAAATTTGAGCAGAGTTCACACGAAATCTAACTTCCTACACCTTGACACCTTGAGGTTCTGCCTCGGTCCCTACTGCCCCGTGGGTCACATGCTTAGTGGGACGGCTCTTCTCTCTTCACAGTTGCAAGCAAATGGCAGAAGCCTGGCCTGGCTTTCCCACGAATCCCGCGGCGGAAACGCGTCGTTCCAGGTCTTTGCACGGCCTCAAGATGTCCTCTCGAGGCAGCACCTGCGCATGCTGGGCATGCTGTCCGTAGTCGCAGCGATATGCACAGTTGTCCACAGAGTCGAACTCTTTGCACTCGTCTAGGAAATCAAGTCTTCATGGTTTCGCAATGTTTGCCACTCTGGGAGGTCGGCGGCCCAGCTTCCAATTCAGGCGCCGCCCCAAAGGAGACTTGGATGCAAGATGCTCCTACGGTTGATGATACAAAACCTGCATTACCCGTAATAAGGAATATACCATAGTTCCCATAGTTTAGGGTCCGTGAGTGAGGTAGCGCAGGACCAGGATTTATATCATCAACAGCAGGCACTGTATCAGAAACCAGAGGTAGGGCCTAGGGTTTAGGGTTTAGGGGGCTTTGCTTCTGGTGCTGTGGCTAGGAAAGAGTCCTGCACCGAGCATGAGGCAGGGCGTACCTCCGCCGCCAAGTCGAAGCGACAGCGCTCCAGTTGTAGGCAGGAGCCGCGGATGTGAAGAGCCATGACGAGCTCCGCAAGATGCGCTTTCCTGGTTACCAACAGTCAACCTGGATGTTTGCGTCCCTCCTCGGCACAGGCCTCTGTGAACCCATCACCTTGGCAGCAGCCGAGCCGAGAGCGTCTGCAGAGCCAGTGGCAAGCTACTCGGCGAAAGAACAGATCTCACAGGCACCTCGACGAGCGGTCGAATGTTTGTTGTGGCCTTACGTGTAGTCCGCCAACTGAAGCTGTGAATTCTCTGCACCTCTGGATGGCAACTCAGTTGCGGTGGCAGCTGACAATGAGCAGCTTGGCATCGACTTTTTAGAGCAGGAAACCTTAATACTCTTTAGCCTTTGCCAAAGATACTCGAAGAAGCGCCAGTGAGCTGCTCCTGAGCATCTTCGCATCGTTCAAGCACGTCCATTCAGCCTGCTGCAGTGCCGCCTCGTCGACGCGGTCGCCCACCTGGGTCAGCGCCCTCAGTGGCTTCGCTGACCCTGCTGAGGCCCGTGCCGGAGGGCTGGACAATGCGGTCTTTGTGCATGGGAGCCGTTCGTAGGACAGGAGTTGAACCTTGCAGGTGGGGAAGCCAGTCCGCGATTGGACAGAGGACGCTCTTACACAGTCAAGGTCCTTTTAGTTGATTTTCGTTGGCCTCTGCAAAGCCGGGACTGTGTAGATGTACCGTCAGAAGAGAGTGGTGCACAGAGGACCATAGAGGACTGCTTCCTGCGCTGACCGTGATTTTCTTGGGTGCCTTGTGATTCCCAGGTCATGGAGGTCCTGGTGGTCTAAGTCTTGCAACTAGCAGCAACTAGCATTGGTGGGAAGCAAAGGGCTGATAACGTAGCTTGACAGCGTGTCAACGGCCACAGAATATTGAGCGGCTTGACAACATAAACAATCATGCAACTTCACACAACAGAAGAGCCTGGCGACAATGGTTGACAAGTTCATACGATCTCATGTATGTGCAGACACATGATATGTGCCTGACAGTGAATCCCAGCAAAGCCTGCCGCCTCAACCCCCCACCCATCTTATGTTCCCACCCCGGCCGCAGCCCCTCAAATTAATAATTTGCTGAGCATTTCGGTGTCGAAACGCGTATCGTTAAAACAGAGGCGGAGGCTCTGATGGCTGCCGCGATGTCACGATGACCACAGTCGTGACGACTGTACACGAAAAGGGGAGACAACTGCACCAACGCCGGGAACAACAACACTGCAGCCAGGGACCACATCACAGACGGTTGCGGCTGGGACCATGCTACGGGGTGGAGGGGAATGGGGGCCTCGCATCCTCCTTGTTTTCCGTGGTCGAAGCGAGCAGTTAGCAAGATAGAAGTCAATATGCTAATCACGACATGGTCGCTGTTTGACAACACAACGGCTGGCGGGTGCACAGGCGATCTCGCTCCTCCGACCCCTACCCCGCCCCCGCAAATGCGAGTCCAAGTAGTGACTGGTGACGTATGGAAAGGCGTTTGACGCCGTAACCATACAGCAGCATGAATGTGTGCTCATGTGTACTTAAGTAGATTGGCTGCCCTGTTCCGTGCAGTGCAGGACGATGTGGCGCAGTGGCTGATGAAGCTCTCGACTGTGCCAGCAGACATCCTGGATGTGGCCGCCGAGCCGAGAAGTCCAACATGTGTTTGAACTTTAGAGCTCACCCCCAAAGAAGGCCCCGCTCCCTTGATCAGGATTACAACAGGGATCTTGGTTTTGAGGCCTTCAAGCAGGATGCTTCATTTATCAGATATTTTCTTCGACCGTTGGTCCTTTTGGCCTTCGCAGGAGAAGAATCCCTACATCACACAATATCCCAGCCCACACAGCCCAGCCAAAGCCAAGGTTCACTTGCATGCCATTTCTGGGGCAGTGCTGCTCTCCATGACAGAAGAGGACCATAGAAATCGGTATTGGGCTGGGTTGGGAGTTTGGAGATGGTTGGAGCATTGGGCAGCTGCGTTGCGCACAGGATTTGGAAGGCCTCCGCATCGAGAAGTTCGGTCACCGCAGGCCCCTAAATCGGAAATTGCTCAGCCAGCATGGGGTCTCGCGAAACTTGCGGAAGTGATGTAGGGATTCTCATGCCGTGCTCGTGAGCGCGATATCACTCTTTAGTATGATAGAGTATAATTAGTATAGATATGGTCAGCTACTACCCCACCACAACCACCACCACCACCACCACCACCACTGCCACTACGACGACGACTACTACCGTGCCACTGCCGCTACTACTGCTACGAAGACGACCACTTTGCAAAGTTATGTGATATGATTCCCATGCTACGCACATTACTGTTCTCATGCTGACATCAACTGTTCTCGGTATCCGCCATGCTTGTGACTATTGGCCGGAAGCCTCCATGTCCACCATTTGTAGTGGTTGAAGTACAAACATGGTTTGCAAGCTTGCCGCATCCACAGAGCACATCAGGCCGTGAAATAAGACCACACCTGGCACATCTCAGCTAAATGTCGAAGGTGAAGTTTACTGCAAGCAGCACTCGTAGAAGCAGAGCATGGACCTCCCGAACCTCCAAGTTCGAATTGACTCCAAGTGCATTGCAAAGTCCAAACCAAATTGTCACAAATCCTGCTGAAGGTTGCTCCTCCTCGCTGCACAGGAACTTCGGCGCACCGTTCAGGTACCAAATCGGGCATAGGGAAAAGGACGATTTTCAATCAGGGAGATTCTCGGTCATGGTGGTCATGGAGACGAGCTGCAAAAGTGGGAGAATAAGAGTTTCAGAAATAGAGAATCTTGCTGTAGACCCGGTGGGGGGGTACAAGGAACCCAAGAAGGAGTACACCAAAAGGTTAGCAACATCCACCCCACCAATCCTAAACCCTAAAACGCCTACACCCTAAACTCAACTGCCAACGCCCTCAAGCCTTGAAGCACCGTGGTTCCTGGCACAGCCCCTAAGATACTTCCTTCAGGTGGCCAATGACAGGCCAGGTCCCGGAGGCCCCTTCTGCTCTGAAAGGGACCATTCAGGGCATCCATTATGGGGAGTTTACAGTTTAGGGTCCTTGTTTTGCAGTGGAGGAGTTATGGTGCCTTTTTGAGCTTTTGGGGCTTCGGGTCCCTTTTTGAGTGAAGGGTTTGGAGTTCCTTCTTGGGGATGGGTAGAATTTAGGACCCTCCTTCAAGGGTTTTAGGATTCAGTCTCCCTTTTGAGGTTCTGGCGTTTAGTGTCTTTCTTATATGGTCAGACGAGGTTGCATAACCGTCAAGGTGTAGAGTGTAGAGCATTGAGGCTATTTGCGGATTTATTCTTCATGGGGTGTTGCTCCAGATTGTTTGATTACTGGGTATTTATTCAGTATTCAGCTCTAATTCACGAAGTCCCTTTGGGTATCTTTCCTGAAATGGCCTGATCTGGCACAATCCGCAGATGCCAGGCCTATGGAAGAATGCCAGAGTAGTCATAGCACTGAATAACCTACGACTCATGCTGCTCGCATTTTTCCTTGCAACTAGCCAGTTCTAGTTTGTCATAATAGACATATGAGCCTCGTGTCCTAGCTGGATCCGCGGCATCAGGCTCAGTGTGTTCTGCCCTGAGGCTCGCGTGGTTTGAGCGACTTCGCTGTGGCGCTGTCGCCCAGTTCATCCATCGGGTGCGCGCCGACGGGGGGGAGTCGGGACCATGGACAATCCTGGGGCCTGTCTTGTTCTGAACTCGTGGCAGGAGTGGAGCAGGCATTGCGGGGGCTGCGTACTCCGTGTGCGTTCCTCAAGGCGCAGGGAATCTGGAGGTTTGCGCAAAGAAAAGCTTCAAAGCCTGGGACTGGGAAGGCCGTAATCGCGTCCTGTCTCCGTCTCCGATGCCCGGTGCACAGTCTGTCCCTGCTCTGGCCTTAGCACGCCCGGGTCCTTTTCAGGAGTGGTCTAAGTTCTTCAAACGACCGACCCGCTGTCTGTGGACGCGAGACGTGGTGTGACAAAGCCTCCCCCGAACGGAAGTTCCTGGAACGGCACGGGTCCTCCGCTGTGTCTGCGAAACGGAAAGCAGCTTGAGCTCGCAAAGTCTCCAAAAGAAAGGAGCAGGACCACGCCTAAATCCTAAACAACCTGCGTGCTTTTTCGAGCTGAGGTCGCAGGGGGCCTGATGTTCCAACCACGTGTCGCGGCTCCAAGGCACGTCTCTGCTTGTTGAGCTCTTTGCATGAGGGGGTCCCTTGAATTCTGCGAGGTCCGTTGATTCAGGATCCTTGCAGCTACCGGCATTTTGGGTCTGTATACATTTGGCTCCCGGCCGGTGGTCCCCTGCATAATTTTCTGCAGCTCCCAGTTCGAACGCCTTCTTGCGATGCTGCTCGGGTGGACAGCAGTAAACATCCTCATCCCTTTTTACTCCGAGGTGACAGGTACATCTGCATAGATTTTGGAACAGTCCTGGAGCCTGCCTGACGCAACTCGTCATTCTGCATTTCATTGGCAGGTCCTGGGCGCCGCAGGTGCCTCTCGCATTGGCACGGCAGGCGAGAAGTCCAGGACAGAGTGCCTGAAATGAGAGGCTGCTTTTTCCTTAAGCCCTAGAAGCCGCAGCACTAAAGCCAAACCACGCGAGGACCCGGCATGATCCCACGAGCAGTTCCAACACGAGGCGGCCCCAACGATGGCAGAAAGATCAGTAGGAAGACGACCAAGTTCCTTGCTTTTACTCCATCCTGCGAGCTTCGGAGTGCCGAGTATTGCAACCATCTTTAGAATCCGGTACCGGGACTGGTAACTGTCTGGTAACGTAATATGCAATAACTCCATAAATCTACTCTAGCTACCCAGTTCATAGTGGTACTTGCTTATCGCCCCTAAAGCCCATGCTGGCAAAGGGAGATCCCTGAATACCCACCACCAAACCCCAGACCTCCAGGCAATATGCCAGCGTCAGCGACGCCACAATCGCCACCTCCCCATCTGCGACCCCAGGCCGCGAACGTCCAGCACTCGTTGTTTAAAGTTTAGGGGGTAGAGGTAGGTCAAAGGCTTTAGACTTCACACGCTAGGGGGTAATGGAGAGAAGCTGCAGACGATTCCACCTTGTTCATTGCCAGGTCCTTGTTGCCGTACCCCGGTGACCTTTGCCTAGGCCGGGTGGCAGAAGCCGTCCTGCCATGCGTCTGCTTTGAGCGATGTTAGTTTAGATTTAGTATAGACATACTGCCCTACTCTGCTCAAAGCCTGTAATCTTCTTTCGCATCTGTCGACGAGGCCATCTTGTGTCAGTCATCAATCAGCAAGCACTGGCACTGTCCCCTCCGAATCTTTGGGGAATGCCACACTGCGCAGTACGCAGCATCAGGCCTGGCAGTTGCTGCTCATGGTGAGTGGGCTGTACACTGGCCAGCATCAGATGCTGCGCCCAGCAGGTAACATCGGCTTATCTCCCCATGGCAACTCTAAACCCAATAGAAACCCCGAAGCCCTAAACGAGATTCCTGGCTGTGATGAGCTAAGCCATCCAGCAGTGCCATCGCTGAATCGCTTTCTTTACGGCCAGGGCCTCCTGACCCAAGGTCAGCACTCACTTCCGCGGGCTTTAAAGGCAATGTGGCTTTACGGTTTAGGGTCTAGGGTTCTACAGTCATCATGCGGAGTACCAGCTGCACTCGACTTGTCAAGCATGTTTTGGCTACTCAGTCAAGCTGGAGCTGCGGAATACTGTCTTGCAAAAGCTGCCGCCGGGCATCGGATGTCATGCCTTTAAACAGCCTGCCTGAGCTTGGTGCAGGATCTGCCCATGCGTTAATGCTTATTGGTTCATCCAAAAAGGTCCCAGTCCGATTCGCTTGCACAGCGTTCTCGGGAGTGAGACTCAGAAGTATCATCCCCTTTGCAAGATAACACTTCACCACGTGCACGTAGTAAGTAGAGACAAAATCCGGGTGGTGACACTAGAAGTTGAAACAGCCATACTGGTACTTGCAAATTCTTGCAGTGGCCCTCAGAGAAGCGAAATCATGCAGCACAACACTACTCCCACCATGACAGGACGAGACGACTCCGGGGGGAGTGTCCTGCTCTCCCGAAGCCGTCCATGCCGTCCAGGTGGAGTTAGGAGTCTGGGGCCCCAGGCTAACATAGGGGCCTGAATTATTAGGTACCTTTTTCGCGGATAATTATAGTATAATGGGCCCCAAAACCAGTATAATGGGCCCCAAAACCCTATTCTAATTATTAAGGCCCCTTTATTACCGCCCTTGGAAGCAGCAACTCTTCCTCGGGAACTGCATCAAGGCACAGACTTTGAGACACTTCCAGTGTTCGGCTCTACCACATCGTAGCTTATTACGTGATCTGAAACTGCATTGCATTACACTATGTTACACTATAACATATACCATACTAATCAGTTATATACTTGTATTATACTAGATGATACCATAAACCCTAAACCGGATAGTACACTAAATTGCATATACTGTAACATAACATATACCATATTATATACTTCTATCATACTGGATCATAGTACACTATAATGCATCACAGTACACGGCTTCCCAGGCGAAGGAGCCTGGAACTCGGGAGGTCTCCAGACCCGGCCACGCCAAAGAGGACAGCGGGGGTTTAGGGTTTTGGGATTTAGGGTTCGAGGTTTATCATTCAGGGTTTTGGGGTTTAGGGTTTAGGGAGATTACGGTGCCCCCGTGGCGAAGCTGGCCATGACAGAGGAAAGATACGCTTGTGTTCTAGTCTAGTTTATTCTATTCTGTTCTTCTATTGCGATTAACGGTATCATGAGTATTGTGGATATTATTAAGTATTGTTGCTATTATTATCATTGCCATTATGATTATTATCATCGTTATGAATATTCTTACTATCATTATTGTTATTGTGATTCGTACCTTTATATTGTACTGCACTGCATGATGATATCTTCTATTCTGTTCGAACATACTTCTCACTTAATGATTTAAGGTTTTTTGTTTTTTTATGACTAATGTACAAGTCTTTTTACATACAACTCTATAATAATCTTCATTGCCGAAGCAGGAGTTGCCCGAGCAACGCGCCCCGAAGCAGACCAAGGCGGCCGCTGATGGCGCGAAGGATTTAAGGTAAGGGGTTTTAGGGCTTAGGGTGTCGGGTTTGGCATTGGGGTTTAGTAAGGGCTTGGGGCTTAGTAAGGGTTCAGGGTTCAGGGTTTAGCACTTGAGGCTTAGTCAGGGTTAGGGTTTGGCCTTCATTTGCGATGTGCTGCGTTTTGTGTGGAGGCTGTTCGTGATGCAGACTTTACCGACACCTCCTCCGAGGAGGCCATTGCGCAGCGGACGCAACTTGTTGATGAAATTCGTGTCCAGGCTCCTGACTGTCGTGGTGAGTATGAATGGTTAATGCTACTGCAAGATATGCCAGCATGTACTAGTACGAATGTTGGTGGAAGCTGATACCCAGTATTTTGCCGAAGAAGGTTGGTAGTTACCTGCAAGATATGTGAGTTATGTAGTAGGATCCTTATCAGAAGGACCCCCAAAAAACGTACCACTAATTTTCGGAAACTCCCATACTGTGTAGTCTGATCAGCATGTCCCTCCAGACTTCTGCAGGACGAAGGGATCGGCGATGCCCTGCCGATAGAGGTCTGGGATTCGCAGCTCTTGAGAGCTTTTGAGAGTGGGAGTTGCTGTCCTGTGGATTTGGTGCCCTCGTACAAGCAGGAAATACCAGAAGAGATCGAGATCGAAGACGATGCGTTCGGATATGGTTCCAGGTCGCGCCGAAGACAGTGCCATGCTTTGCTGCTGTCGACATGCTTGAGCAAGCAGGTCCCTGAATCCACGTGACTTCCGACGTGACGTGCGTGCTGACCTAACAAGCAGCCTCAACTCCAGTACAGATATAGACAAGGAGTGATCGCCGAAAGCTCGGCTTTGGCATCTGCAGTGCAGTAGAAACCCAGCGAAACTGTCAGGAACTAGACTCTCTAGACTCTAGACTATCCCGGGCGGAGTCCATTGCAGATGCTTCCATGTGGTTTGCTGTGAGACGGCGAGCTCTTGGAGCATCTTTTTGGCAACACATTCTGAATGCAAGCACAGTTCAGTGATTCTTGTCGGACCACCAGTGTCTAAGATATTGGTGTTCCGTCGCAATGCCGAAAGGTATTGTACACGTGCATCGGGACAGCTGTTCATCACTGGTAGCCGCAAACTGCAATGATGAGAAGTTTAACTCATTTTTTGCTTTGCATGTAGTGATACTTGGTGTTAGTATTTGTATTAGTTTAAGCTGCAAGTTGGTTTAGTAGAACGGTAAGTATGAATGTTGAGCAGCAATGGTCAGCCCGATCCTCGCTTGTTGTGTTATATTGGCCGCAGGGAAAATCTGCAACGGCCGGAGGAATTTGAAGAGCAGGGCCAACGGTCGGAGAGTCCAGTCGTTGGTCTTGTGCCTCGGTTGCTGTGACTACAACAGACATGGCATCTGTAGTGACATGGTGTACAGGCTTAGTAGGTGCAGCTGCGACTGCGCTTCATTTTCAAAAGATCCCAGAGGTTTCGAAGCTGCATGCACGCATGTGTCTAGCACGTAGACATACTGTATGGAAACACACACGAAACCGTAAACCGAACCCCCCCCCCACAATTGTTTGCAACTGGTCCCGCAGGAAGCCGGCCTAAGTCTGAGAGAGCAAAGAGAAGGTAGCACAGCGGCAGAGCTGCCCGAAGCAGGCAAAAGCATTGGGTTGGAAAGCGATGAAACGCGGGACCCTAGTTAGTCTGCGTTTAGTCATAGTCCGTGTTGTCTCAAGTGTTACAAGTATTGTCCTTAAGCTCTCCATACTCGGATGCTCAAGGTAGCTGTTTGGTGGTTTGTTTGTTGATGATATTGCCGTGGTAGTTGGTTCTTGTGTGTTCGTTGTGGTCAGGGCTGCGATTTTAAAGCTTTCGCATTTTGTCTTATGCATGTTTGGATTTTCGTTTCGTGTCGCACGTGTTTGCGTTCACAGTTTTGATCATATGGCATATGGACTGAATATGTCGAGATTCGTTGCTGCTCTTGTCGCAAGCATAGCAAAAAGACAGGGACTGATAAACCTGCCCATCGGACACACGAGCCTTCAGCCCGGCCTGCCTCATCCCTCTGACTGCATGTGATGTGGGGGTTTCCCAAAATAGGGGACCCTAATATAATTAGTACCCTAAATAATAGGACCCTTATTATAAGGACCCCTAAATAAGGTGCCCCTATTTTCGGAAACTCCCATGTAGCTGGACCATTTCCAGACATCACAACGCTGGCCAGATCCAGAAATGCATCCGTTGGGATGGTTTCAACCCTAACCGCGTTCCTGTGATTCAGGAATGTGGCAGGGTTGAGGCCTAAAACCGACTGCCAAGTGGTTCCGGTTCACTTCCCCAGAAAATACCACGCGCGAGAGGGTGAACGGCATGAACGCTAGACACGAGATATGTACACATCTCTCGGTATACATTGAAAAACTGCAACAGTACCATCGTTGGGAATGCGTGCGTCCGTTACTAGTGTATGTACCCATGTGGAGATCTGAAATTTCACATGGGCGCTGCACATTTGTGTGATGGTGCAGTTGTGCCCACATCTCGCGGCTTGCAGATCCGATGCGCAGCAACGACGCTGAATCACGCTGATGCGATGAAAGTACGAAAGTTTCCTGGGCATGCAAGTGTGCACAGCCTTTAGCAGGATACAGACAAAGCACCCATGGCTATTTTCAAGCAATTTCCAGCCGTTTGCGACGTGCCTGCTTCGTGTAACAGCTGGGTCCATGAGCCATGTCGACCCGAACTCCTGCCGTGCCCGATGACTTTCCGCACTTTGTGGCCTGGTTTGGGCCTCAGGTGCGCATCCTGGGCCCGGGTCCCGTGAAGGCTGCCTCTTCAGGACTTGTGGTGTTCACCAACGGTGCCCGCTAGGTCTGAATGTGAGGAGTGCTTGTCCCAGTCTTGCACTCGGCGAATTTGCAAGGTATGGCCGCATTCCGGGCTTTGAGCACGCTGCCGTCAGGGTGAAGGTCAGCAGACGATCGAGATTGATTAAAGAACCTGGAGCTTGGTGTTGTGTTGTGATGGTGCACGGATGAGTGACCAGCTTCAAGCAGGCAAGTCGAGGCAGTTTCCGTGACCTCTCATAGTCGCCCTTTTCAGCGGTTCAGTGACAAGTGACAATTTCAATGCAGGATTTCCATTGCCGTGATCAAGTCTTCCACATGCGACAGCTTGTGGATGCTCGGTGTCCCGGCCGAAGCTTTTTTCAAAGTCCCGCCACATCAGAACCTCCAAGCATGGGTAGTTACAAGTGGGGCTATAAGTCCCCTAATTTTAACGCTACGCCGCCCGCCTCGGCTGTGTAGCGGCAGGGCGAGGGGGCAGTCGATGTTTTTCAATGCTAGGGCGGCCTGTCCAACCCCACCCTTGGACGGTGGGAGGGGGGGGGGGGAAGGGGGGGAGGGGGAGTGGGGGGGAGCAAATCAGGTAAAATGAGGGGGGGAGGAGGGGGGGGGAAGGCCTGGGAGGGGGGGGGAGGCCGACAAATCAGGTAAAATGAGGGGAAGCCGGGCAAGGGGTGGCAAACGAACGCAAAAAGCGGGTGTCCCCAATCATTGGCAATACAGGGAGGAGGATTAGGTGGAGGGTACCTGAGGTAATCCCCAAGACGCCTGGGCCTCTGGCCTCGGCGGATATAGGTCATAACCATAGTTATCCTGCTTATAAACCGTACTTATTACTAGCCATGAACCTCCAAGTGCTACTTCTCACATGACGTTTCGGCATGTTTCGGCTGGTGAGTGTCATCGTTGCTTTGCGACAGTAGTCAGGAGTGTTGTTGACGAAGAGATCTGCACCATACTCTACGAGCAGCTCATTCGTAAGAACCTTGCGGCAGGTACTACCTCAACTGGCACTATGCCAATGCTGCGCCTTGGCAAGCTTCGTGCTTCTGTTCGTGCACACCTTGACGGCATGCCTTGTCGAAATAGCTGTTGTAACAGCGCGAGCTGTTTGTGGGTTGGCAAATGTCTGGGCCGGGATGCAGGCAAACTTCATATCGCCTTGATGATGGGGAAATTACTAGGTTGTGCTTCTCACGCTGCCACGGTAGCCTTGGCAAGGACACTTACGGCGTTTCGGCATACTTCAATGCAGCTGAAGAGTGGCTGCGCTGTCGCGCGGATGCCTGGAACCTTTCTTGACTTACTTGGCTCGCACGATAGGTGTTCCTTCCAAACCTGAGGCTTGTGGACTGTTCCAGCCGCATTCCCGTGCATACTTCGCACTTCAGTGGAAAAGCAATCACTTCGCACTTCCGGGATGGCCTGCACGACGATCGTGTTAACACAGACTGTAAGACGACTCACATTGCATGGAAGCTACTTTGCTCCCGAGCAGTGACAAGTTGGGGTACATGAGTTAATTCTGGGGGCTCGAGCCAAACCCACTCAAATGATGCGGTGGGTCACATCATCTCGTGCAGAACCAGCCCAGCACCAAAACCCGAACCCGCAAAAGAGGCCGAATCATGCGCTTGGCCCCAGATGAGCGGCCGCAGGCGCTGAAGGACAGATGGACAGAGGACAGCTTTAGACAGGAGCTCCGGGCTTTCGATCGCAAATTCGATGTCAAGCTAGAGATGTTGAGTAATATGATACACCTCCGAAGTGGGACCAGTATTGACCAGTACTATGACACATGAACCGAGTCATTTCAGGCTCTCCGAACCTTCAGTGCCGAAGGCGAAAGCTCTGCCGTGCAGCCAACGCAAGGCAACTGTAAAGCCGAACCACATCTCGAAACTGAAGGCTCGCAGACTTTAATCGAGTAGACTTGTCAGAAGTCGGCTTCGCACATTCGATGAAACCCCGGCAGGATTGGTTTGTTGACAAGTACCAGGCCCGTTGTTTGCTGGCATGACGGCCATGCGTTAGCACACAAACTAGGACATCTGACAGGGCTTCGCAGACATTGGCATGCCGAGCCAGTTGGAGCATAAACCGAAACACTGCCGGGTGAGCAGCGATTCCTGTCCTCTGCAGTGGAAGCTAAATTGTCAGAAGCCATCAGAAAAGTGATGCGATGCCTGTATGTACGCTGCTGCGAGAACGCTTTAAGCTTCAACGTGAGGTGAACAACATTTGGGAATATCGCGAACCTCCAGCTGCGATTGGCAACTTGACTAAACAGAGCATCAGGTATCTTCAACATCCGAGTCGATGTGCAAACATCCTGCTTTCTGCCCTAGGCCCTAGACTGCATGGTGAGAGTTCGGGCAAGGAGAGACTCAGCATCATTGGCAATCAAACAGCCAGCAGTCATGGTGCACCCGGGTACGCGAGTAGTTGCACAACAGCAACACTCGCAACAGTGGAGCCAAGCTGAGGCAAGCACGAGCAGCTTTGAATCACGAAGCGTCTGCAGATTTAGAAAGGGCTCGAGGTACGTGCGGGATATGGTGCTAGATTACATGTCTTGTGTTGATTTATCGAATATGACGAGGTTTCGCGAGAGTCATCTCAATTCGGAGGGGATTACGGAAAGCTAGATACTGCTGAGGGACTAGGTACAGAGGTTTGTTTTGTTCGTTCTTGCCGCTGTTGAGCAAATATGCGAAGCCTCAGCCGCCACATCGTCGCAGCATTATGTGGTGGTTGTGATGATAGTGATTACTGTTATGATAATGATAGGTGTTCAGGTGCTTTGGTGCTGGACTCTGGACCTTTTACTTGTATCCATTGTATGTGCTGAACGGTGACAAAATTCAATCTTAATCTCCTGGCTTCAGGGCCGTTTCTTACTGAGATATCATTTATTAAATTTTTTCCGCATGCTTCCCTACTTAGCTGGTTACCTGTACGTATCGTATTTTCTGATTTTCATTTTCTCTATATGGAATATAATAGATATATACGGGTACGGAATTAGAAAAAATCCGTGATTGATGAGGATACGAAAGCTTTATCTTTCTTGATTGGGGTGAATTTACTCATATGGGAGAATAATTTCGTTCTTGTTCATAGAAGTTTACGTTATTAAATAAGGAAATACTAAATTTTCTTTCTCGTAATACAGGGGTTACACGACTTAATTACGAGAACTTAGTTTAATTGTGGTATATCATGGGGTTTCCGGTAATTTTGTTGTAACGGTATTATATAACAAGTATATGTCGGAAGATAGGAAACGCTAAGGTATAGTAATACTTCTTATATGATCAAACTCACTATCATGATGTAATTGCTAAACTCTCTCGGTCCTTTAAAAACTCTAAAAACCGTAGTCCTAACACTTGCAAAACTTTCTGAAATCTTTTCAAATTTAGATAATTAAATCCGGAAATTGTTTGGCTAAGTCGATATATTTGGGTCAATATCGGGATACTTATAGTAGGGGTATAGTTAGGTATTAGTATTTCTATAAGAGGAATACCCTTCTCCAGAAAATAAATTGGGCCATGACTTGTGTTATTCGGTTTTAAGGTTGTATCAAGGGGGAATTGAATAAATACACTTATGTCATAGTTGCTTGGAAAGTAATGAAAAGAGCGCTAATCCTAAGTAGAGGCCGTTTTCCAGATATTCTGATGTTTCGTTGAAGCCGCTGTGCCATGGGGGAACGAATTTGGACTGAGTTCTTTTACTTTGGGCTGAGCGGTGTGCCATGGGGGCGGGCTGAGATCAGGTGCTGAGGGCTGAGAAACCCCCCGCATACGTATATTCTCTACTAAAACGTTGTCGTTTTGATTGCATTCGTAATTCTCTATATTTGTTTGTTTCGCTTATAATGTGGTCTATTTCCGTATTTCTTCGTGATAGCTTTTTATTCTTATATATATTTTCTAAGAGAAATACTCTCTTTTCTGGGGTTCTCTCATGGCGCGGATTCTATGATTATTATATATGCTACGCCATATGGCGTACGTTTCAAAAATATAAAAGGATGATATAGGATAGCTGGGAAAATAATTTCGATCCTTTCAAAAATTAGATAAGTCTCATTTCGAGAATCGGGGTTTGCTGTAGGAGAAGCGGAAAATTTTTAATTGATCGAATATAGTCCGCAATAGGCACGAAATTAGAATGATAAATTCAAACAAATCTGATGGGGGGAGAAGGCATACGCACACGCCCCATCGAGATTTAAATCGGTATCTATAATTAAAGATTCATAAATGGTAGATAAAAAAAATTCATGGATAGTAATCATATCTATATGATATATATATATATATATATATGAATAAATATATAGATAGATTTCCTGATATTTTATCATATACGAATCTGGATCTCTAAAAATATTTCTAAATCTCGTATATGTAAAGATATATTCTAAAAAAATAAATCTGAAATCATATTTGTATTTCTGAATCTATGCAAGTATTTTTTTCTATTTATCAAAATTTCCTTTTAATAGCCTTCGTGAACTCCTATATTTTAGTATGATATTCTCGCTATAATAAAACTCCATAGATTTTTGGCGGAGGCTCCAGTGCAGTGCTTGCTACATGAAGCTAAGCATCCGTCGTCTGTCGTCTACGATTCGTATTTGGATTAGTATCCCGAACATGGCTGCGAATGCCAGCCCAACTGAGATGTGGACAGTGGTCCACACGCCATTATTGCAATTGGCCAAGAAGCACTTTTGCGTTCATGAGGGGCCACGTGCTCCGTATCTGTCCGCGGAAACTTGGAAGCTCATACAACAACGCAGTGAGCTCCATGAGGTGCTTGGAGCCAAGAAGCCAGTTACGGCCTCTCTCCAGCTGCTGCTGCTGCAGAGGTGGAGTGTGGTCACGCTTCTGTCCCGAATGCAGCAGCATGTGTGTAAAGCGGTAGCTGCTGACCGAAAGGCGACCCTTTGGAATTTCGCCACTTCTATGGAGGAAGCATTCGAGAACCAAGATTTCACGCAAGTCTGGACTTTAGCGCGCAGGATTACCCGCACGGGTCTTGGTCCACGAAGGCGTTTCTTTCGTCCCCCAGATGCCACCCCCATTTCCACTGCTGAGTGGGACACATACATGAAGGACACCTTTGAAGCTCCACGTGTGGATCAGGCTCGGGAGCAATTATCCCCGCCTGGGCCGCCTGCTACTGCTCCTACGGCGCGGCAGATAAGGCGTGTTCTTGCACAGGCCAAAAATGGCCGCACCACTGTCGACGGATCCATGCCGGCTGAAATCTGGAAGCTGATTTATGCATTTTGTCCCAAGACAGTCCGATTGATCCACTCGTCGATTACTGAGGTCGTTGCCAGTACCCGCACGCCGCCGCTCCAATGGTGTGTATCTCCTCTGTAGCCTGTTGACAAAGGAAACGGCAAGATCAAGTGCGCAGGGAAACGTCCTCTCAATGGGGTTGACCCCTTTGGTCGCTCGTACCTGGCAGCTAGCTTCGAGGCTCATGACAAAGGGTCTGTTCCTGATTGGGCTTTTGGTTGTGTCCCTGGCAGACGACGGGAAGAGCCTATCGCAATCTTGGTGAACTTGAGATATCGTTGTAGAAGGGCTCGCAGATCTCATCATTTGGTGTTGCGTGATACCAAGGGTGCCATCAGCAAGATCACGCACGAGGCGGTGAACGCGGCCTTGCAGCGGGATCTTCCCCTCCCTCAAGCCCAGCTACAGCTAGCCACGTATCACAAATCTCACATGGATCTGGAGGGCCATGGGACCTATCATATCAAGAAAGGAATTCGTCAAGGAGACCGCAGTGGAGTCCGAAGTTTCTGTAAGACCTATAATGGGGCCGTCGAAGTTTACCGTGCCGCTCATGATGCTCGCCGCATGATCATGGAAATCCACATACTTGACTTAGATCTTGCAATCGATATATCTGGGACCACGTATATGGACGACGTGGCAGAGCTCATGATCGCAGACACTGTCGAGGACCTTGCTGCCCGGCTAGCCGTGAACTCGTCCATCCTCCAGCTCGCCATGCAGACATTGGAGGTAGTTTGGAGCCTGCCAAAGAAGTTTTGCTCATGAAGTGGTGTGGCAAGGGTGCGCGCGGTCTGGAATAGCGAGCGCAACAGCTTGAAGACCTCACGGCTGGCTCTATGCCCGCTTGTGCCAGGCATTTAGGAGCTTGGCTCCAAACCAACGGGGCAGATAGCGATGATGTTGCCAAGCACATTGCTGCCATGCGTACAGGTTTCTATGCCTTCCATGGATTGTGGAGTTGCAGCAGGGTTCCCTTCCGGCGGATTTTCTTTAAGGCGGGGATTAGTTCAGCAGATTTAGCGGACTTGGAGTCCTACGTACTCACGCAGACAGATCTTGATCGCCTGGAAATTGCTCGTGAGTTTCTGATGCGGCGCATCTTTGGGCGTGCTGGATGGGGGGCCGTGGCTGGTTCGTCTGAACACCAGTCGGTGCCAAGTCATAGCTTGCGAAAAAAGGCGGACCTCCCTACCATTGAGTCCACCTTGCGTCAACGACGACTTCTATGATTTCAGAAGATTATTGCGAAGTCTACTCACCACGTCATGTACCTGACGTCGCTCTTTGGCCACTTCGCTTGGGAGCCATTGCACACTGAACTGGATGAGCAAGGAGTGTCTCTCCCTGCGGCGGTGCCTGCTCTGCGACAGTTGCATCGGGATCTATGTATAGCATTGCCGGGTTTTACGGGTTTCATCGGTGAGTGGTGTTCCCATTTACTCGGAGTGCAAAATTGTTTTATGCACGTGGTCTCTTATGAACGTCCACTCCGAACAGTATGGCAGAAATATCCTGATACAAGCATCATCGGGGAGGACCCTGAAGGCTTTGTCATTGATACGACTGGGTATTCTTTCAAGTATGATGTTTGCCCTGCTCAATTTTTGACGAAGCGTGCCCTGAACATGCATCGGGTCAGTGCTCATAAAGCCAGAAGGGCAGATTCAGCTCATATCACCACATGTCGCTGTCCGCATTGCAACCGTATCTTTGCAATAGTTGGCTCCGCAAAGCGGCATTTTCTAGCAGTGGCTCCAAGCGCCATATGGCTTCAGACGGGAGAACCAGCTCCCCGACGTCGTCGCCGCGAGCAGGGCGCGTGCACCGGCGTGGTTCTTGAACGGGACGGAATCCGTGTTAGTCCCTGCCATGCAGGCAGCTCATCAGACTTACGACTCGCGCCATCCGGGCAAAGGCAAGGCACATCCGGATGGGCACAGACGAACCATACTAGCAGGAGCTCTTCTTCTCAAGCTGTCCGAGTGCGACCTTTCCAAGGCGGGGGCGGCCGAGCAGACGGAACTATTACGGCGCAATCGTATTTTGGAGGTTGCCAAAATGCCCAGCATATCGATGCAGCAGGAGATCCTCAAGTTGCTCATCAAGGAGTACCACACGCCGACGCTCATGCAGCCCGAGATTAAAGAGTGCTCTTGGTTCAAGGCGAAGAAGGAGG